TGTTCTAGCAAAATTCCCTTCAGTTAGTGAGCACTTGCTAAGCGCTCGCCCACCTTTTCTCTTCTGGCAGTGCGGGTGTTTGAAGTCACGTTAAGGAGGTGAGTCATCAGAGCAATGGTGTGGTTTATCTTTTAGCTGGTTCGTAAAAACTTCATATGGAGAACCACCTCAGCAAAGCAATATTCAACTTCCCAGCAGTCTGAGAACGGCTATTAAAGTGGAAAGCAAACGTAAAGGAGTAGCATCTGTCACGTTCATATGTGAGTGCTCAGGCGCCAGTTAGTTTCGGCATGTGGATCGGAGCCCTGAGATACCCGCTTACAAGAAAAGAAGATGAGTGGTGCTCTTGGACTCATGCTCTATTTATTGCTGTGGAACAAACTGCCAGGGGCTGGGTGATATAAAGCAGCAGATGAGAGACAGTTTGAGTTTTTTGGACCTCTTCTGGTGGTTCTCAGGGCACCATAGAGGGTGTTGGGATCGAGCCTGGTTTGACTCTGTGCAAGACAAACGCCCTACCTGCTTCAGTATTGCTCCGGCCCCTCTTCTCAGTTCTTGGAGGTTGACAGTTGAATTATTTTGTTTCAGAGCTATCTGGAAAGTTAGTTTGAATAATAGCAATTTCAGACTGCAATGTTGACCCAAAATCAGTTCTTTATTGCTGTCTTGCTCTTTATGACTAAAACCACAAGATTTTAACTCAAGAACTTTGGGGAAAATTTTTTTGGCTTTTTGGGTCACACCGGTGATGCACAGGGGTTTCTCCTGGCTCTGCACTCAGGAATTACTCCTGGCGGTGCTTGGGGGGGACTATATGGGATGCTGGGAATTAACTCAGGTTGGCCATGTACAAGGCAAATACCCTCCCTGCCGTCCTATCACTCCAGCTTCCTGGAAATAATTTTTAAATAGTCAGAATGTCATTTGAGTTTACTTACTTCTGAAATGATTGACAGTTATTACTAGACGGTACTCAAGTCATATTTTATGGATTTCCACAGTTAGCTGAGGTATGGTTCTGCTTGTTTGGGGCCACACTCTGATACTCAAGGGCTCCTCCCAGCTCTGTACTGGGGGGTGCTTCTGGAAGTGCTCACAGGACCTTGTGTGTCAAGCCAGGATTCAAATCTGGGCTGTCTGCACGTGAAGCCTACACTTCCGCCCATGGAGCTATTTCTCTAGCCTCTAAACTATTTTTTTAAATGTAAAATTTTTATTTCAGGAGATAATGAACTTAAATGCATACTTGCCATTCAGAGGCTCTGGGTTTGAGTTCTGGTACCACATGGTTATTCTGGACCATTCTCTACACCAGTGGAGTACCCTGGTGAGCCCTGGCATGGCCAGGCCTGAGCAGCACCTGGCCTAGGTCCCACTCCCAGGCAAGTGCCTTATCTAACCCTTTCCCAACCCTGAGGGTTTTGTTTTGTGTTGGGTGCCAGGGATGCATACAGGGTCACATCCTTAGCCTAATTTTTTTTGTTCTTGTTTTGCATCTAGTGGCATTAAAAAAGAGATTAGTGGGGTTGGAGCCATAGTACTGTGGGGAGGGCTTTGCCTTGCATGGGGCTGACCTGGGTTCGAATCTGGCATCCCATATCATCCCCAGAGCACTGCCAGGAGTAATTCCTGAGTGCAGAGCCAGGAGTAACCAGTGTGACCCAGAAAGCAAAAGAAAAAAAAAAGAGATCGAGAGATCTGTTCCAGCTTTCCTCGTAGTCCTGATAGTGCCAGGCATGCAAGAATTAAGCTCTCCCCTGATCTCTCGACTGCCTCTTGCCTTTGCGTGATCTCCCGACCTCAGACTGTGGTGCTCAGACTGTGGTCTCCGGCATCTCTCCAGGAGTGGCTCGCAGAGCCGCAGCGACTGGGTGTTCTGCTAGTTCCTGAACATCGTTTTACTCGAAACGGAATTATTTGAACCAGTGTTCACAAATAGCTAAGTCTATTGTTCCATTATTAGAAGTTTGTATTTTACTTATTCATTTGTATTTAAGGTTTGAATTCTTTTTTTTTTCTTCTTCTTCTCTTGAATCACAGTTTTAAGTTTCTTTGTTTATACCCAGTGACAAGTGCCCTTGAGAAACCCTCAGGTGTGGAAGGCTAGAGCACAAGGCTGTTCTTTAGGGTTATTGTTTGCTTCCTTTTCTAGTCTCGCATTACATTTTTTCAGTACATTTGAGCTCACTTGCTATTATTACCCGTAAAAGAAAAAAAATCCAGTTAGGTGTATGTACTTTTTATTCTTTTGGTCTCCTGGAGATTCAGAGTTAAAACTTCAGAATTGAAAAAAGAATCAAATTAAAATACCATCAGTATGACCCTCCCCTCCTTCCCATTTCCTCCCTCTGTCGCGCGCGCGATGTGATCACACATCGTGGTAAATTGCGGTGTTTGCTGGTGATCCCTTTAGTTGTGGAGCTTTTACATGGCATGCCAGGGCTTGTACTCCTTTTGCTATGGCACCTGCACACATTCTTGTTTTTATTTGGGGGCCACAGTGCTCAGGGGTTCCTCCTGGCTCTGTGCCCAGGGATCACTCGGGACCATGTTGGGACCATATATGGCGATCGAACCCAGGTTGGCCGCTTACAAGGCAAATGCCCTTCCCATAGTGCTGTCGCTCTGGTCCCTTCAAGCCTGTGTTCTTTTTTTTTTTCTTTTTTTTTTTTTACAAGCCTGTGTTCTTGTAGTGCTCGTGGGGCTTGCAGTGATGCTCATCCCTGTGCCTGCTTGGGCTCTCAGCCTCTAGGTGTCGTGTTGACACACCGTGGTTTGCCTGGAAATGACTTGCTGCCAGAATTGGGCTTGGTGCACGTGCAGGCGGTGGAGACCCCACTTGGGGCCTCACTCTTGCAAGGCGGTTGCTTTGTCTGCTGAGCCAAGGGCCATTTTTTAGACCTAAATTCAAATTATGAAAAGCTGCTAGTTGAAACTTGGCAAACATTGGAGTTAAGAAAATTGTATGTCATATAGGGTTTTCAGGGAGTGTTCTAAATGGCTTTCTTCTGATGGGAGCTTCTTTGACTTGATGGTTTTCCAACTGATTATACTACCCAGCTAGCATTAGAGAGCCTGTGTGGGCCTTTATGAAGTGGATAAAACCTGGGCTCTCTTTTAGGGGTTCATCTTCCTTCTATGGTCTACAGATCTGAGGTCCGAAAGTCAGAAATTCTGTCAGTTGAGAATTCGTATGTGGCAGGATCTTTATGTGGAAAGGCTTAGTAAACTTTAGAGTACCTTACTGCAGGTAAATGTTGGTTTAACTTATCATAAAATGAGTAAATGTGTCAATAGAATAAAATTTTTAATAAAAATGTGTAAATAAAATAAAAACTTTGACTCAGGGGCCACAAGTCTTTTTTTTGGGGGGGGTTACACCTGGCGATGCACAGGGGTTACTCCTGGCTCTGCACTCAGGAGTTACTCCTGGTGGTGTTCAGGGGACCATATGGGATGCCGGGAATCGAACCTGGGTCTGCCGCATGCAAGGCAAACGCCCTACCCGCTGTGCTATCTCTCCAGCCCCAGGGGCCACAACTCTTGGCCAGGGATTTGAACCTGGCCTCCCAGTTTGCAGAGCATGCATCCATCTGGTTTCTCTGGGCCCCTAACTGTTGGTCCCAGTCAGCCAGCCAAGGACAAAATGAGGTGTCAGCCGGTAGTGTATTTTCTTCTTTGGGGAACTTCTGGTGGTGCTTAGGAACTACACCTAACTGTGCTCAGGAATCACTCCTGGCAGTGCTTGGGGGACCATGTGCGGTGCTGGGGATCGACCCAAGTTTGACCACATGCAAAGCAGCTACATTGACTCTTGTACTATATCTCTGGTCCCTGCTACTAGTATTTTCTGGAAAAAAACAAAAATTAGATACCTTATTTCCCTTTTATTTTTATACATATAAATACAAAATATAAATTGGGTAGGGTGGGAGGCACTCCTGATGGTGCTCAAGTCTTACTCCTGGCTCTGATCAGGAATCACTCCTGGCGGGGATCAGGGGACCAGATGGGATTCTGGGGATCCCTCCTGGGCAGCTGCATGCAGGCAGCACACTCCCCGCTGTACTTGCGTTCCGGCCCAACACTCCGGCCCAACACTCCGGGGTTCAGAGGTTCCTGGGGCTCCGACCACAGAGGAAATGACAGGGTTTTTTCTGATAGATTTTTTTTTTTCTGTTGGCTCACACAAAGCACTTCCTGAGGATCAAATACTGTTCTAAGTGCCTCTTGTATTGGTTAGCCTAATGCTTATGACACTCCTTTGTGGTAAAGGCCATCATCATTTTACGAGGGAAGAAACTAAAGCAGAGATTAAGGAACTTGCCCAAGGTGGCACCGAGATTCCTGTTCGCTGAGAATTCTGGAAACTGGTATCAGGTGTAGTCCAGTGTTTGAATGCACACGGCATAAGTTAGCGACCCACTTAGTTACGCAGGGCTTGTAAGCAATGGAAAGTTCATTTGGGTTTAGGCCATACCTGGTGGTGGTGCTAGGTAATCCCAGCTCAGTGCTTAGGGGACCTTGCGTGTGTAGATCGAACGAAGCTGGGGCCTTCTGCTTGCAGAGCATGTACTCGAGGAAGTCAAGTTACCTCTCTGGCCCCTTTCTATTGAAAGTCATAATAGAAAAGTTGGTTGAGTGGGGAAAAACAATATTTGGCTGAACTGACTGTTCCACCATTTTTCTTGGCCTTCCAGTTTTGTTATTCAGACAAGGTCATCATTTAAATAGACATAATCTCCTGGGTTTTTAAAATTTATTTTGGATTTTTGGACCATATCTAGTGGTGGTCAAGGATCACTCCAGGAGGAGATTGGGGGAACCATATGGGGTGCCACGATCAAACCTGGGTCAGTCACATGCAAAGCAAGCGCCCTACCTGCTTTACTATCTCTCGGCCTCCTCTCCTGGTTATTTAGGTGTTTGTTTTCATTTAGGAAATATTGTACTTGATAATATGCAAGAATAAACTGAATATTTCTTTGATTTCTTCACAGTACAGTGCCGTAGACACCAACCCACTATCTCTGTATGTCATGCATCCGTTTTGGAACACTATAGTAAAGGTAAGATGATCAGTAGGCATTTCCATATATTCTTGTGAGTTTTAAATATATTAAATTACTTGGGGACTGTTAACAAATACACTGTTAATAGCATAGCTAGAGAAACTCCCCTTCTACTGCCCTTTTCCCTTAGTAACTTGTCCTTTGATTTGCCTCATGGTTGAAGTCTTTTTTTTTTCTTTTTTTTTTCTTTTTGGGTCCACCTGGCGATTCACAGGGGTTACTCCTGGCTCTGCACTCAGGAATTACCCCTGGTGGTGCTCAGGGGACCATATGACATGCTGGGAATCGAACCTGGGTCAACCGCGTGCAAGGCAAACACCCTACCCGCTGTGCTATTGCTCCAGCCCCTCATGGTTGAACTCTTAAGGTTACATGTACACTGGAATTTATCAGCTTTGTATAATGTCTTTTAAACTTTTCTAAAATTAAGATCATAAGAAATCCTCACTACTACCATCACCACCACCACTACCACCAGCCACCACCATGAAAAATAAAAAATTATAAGAAACCACTGATTGTGTAACTCTTTGAAATGTGTAAAAATAGAGAAAAGAAATGCTTACACCTATCAGCTAGAGATTATGGTATACATTTCAGTAGTGATCACTCCACATGTGTTTTTCATCTCTACAGTTTTTATTATAACTTAAGTTTACATGTTGTATCATGATATGGACAGAGGCTCCTCTGCTTTAATAATTATAAATAATAAATTTTTAAATTATAATTGTGAAAAATAATATATGTGTGTTTTTTCATTTTAAAAGGCATTTCCTACTTGGCTGGCTCCAAATCTGATCACCTTTTCTGGTTTTCTGCTGGTTGTATTCAATTTCCTACTTTTAGCATACTTCGATCCTGACTTTTATGCTTCAGGTAAGATTATTGTTATTTTTTTTGCGGGGGGGAGGACACACTCCCAAGATGCTCTGTATGAAGTTCCAAAGCGCTGTATCTAGTTACAAAGTTACCCACGAGCACAGAACCATCCAGTTGAGATCATCAGATCAATCTATATCCAAATAAAAAGATTTTTGTTTAGCTAATTCGAATAGTGAAAGAGTCTAGACGGAAGATTTAACACATGCTTATAATATAATCATAAATAATATTGGATCAGATGAAACCCAAGCATTTTTTTATATTGCAAAACCATGTTTCATTCTAGGACCAGGTAAGTTTCTAGCAAAGAGGAACAGTGAGCCTTATGTTGTGGGCTCAGATTTAAGTGCCCATGTGAGGGATTGGCTGGGTGGATTCTCTGGTTTTGTCAGATTGTGCTGATATATTTTAATATCACTCTGTGTTGAGAATGCATTGTAAGGTTCTCTAACTTGAATTTAAGTTAGACCTATTTCTCATTGACAGCTTACACTGTCTGAGAAGGCGTTAAATTTGAGGTTGCATTCTTTTGCAGCACCAGGCCACAAACACGTCCCTGATTGGGTGTGGATTCTAGTGGGAATTCTCAACTTCACCGCCTACACACTAGGTAAGAAGTCGTCACCTTCTCCTTGGCTCAGGGTTGGTCAGTCAGCAGAAGTGCCCTGCACTGAGAAAATAAACTTTCTCCCTTATAGTTTATTTTAACCAAGATTTAGTAATACCCTGTTAAGTTGGATAAGTGCTTTTGAGTTTTTCTATGAAAAAGACTGTCATCTATTGCTAGAATTCAAAGTATATCTGGGAAATGACCAGCTGTAGCCCAATCTGGCCCCTCATCTATGTTTGCTAACTGAAAATTGATGGGACTCCACCTCAGTGCTCGTTCCTTTGCGCAGTATCAGCTAGTTTTCCTGCAATGAAACACAGTTTATTAGTTGCAACAGAGACTTGAATGACTCACAGAGCCTAAATTACCTTCTGTTGTTTTACAAAATACCTGCCAACCCCTGGAATAAGATGTCCTTTTTGTGACAAGATTTTTGTTTGTTTATTTGTTTGGGCCATACCCAACAGTGATCAGAGGTAACTCCTGGCTCTCTGCTGAGGAATTACTCCTGGGCGTGTGTGGGGAACTATATAGGATGCCGGGAATTGAGCCTGGGTCAGCTGCATACAAGGCAAACACCCTACTACCCCCTGTACTGTCTCTCTGGCCCCAAGATTGGGAAGCACTGGGGCATTTGAAGTCATTGTGAGAGGTGGTGTGATTTTTCAGAGGAGTGAGAACAGATGAGGAAGTGGTCAGTTCTGGTCTGGTGGAGGCAGAGGTCGATGGGCTGTGCTGGGTCTGTGTCTCCTGCCAAGAATGCTTCCTCATGGGTCTTTCTGCATGGCTTGCCCTGTGTTTTTCTATTCTCCTGTCGCCTCTCTTTCCCTCCCTAGCACCTGAAACCATATGCCCCGTCTTGCTTCCTTGGCAGAAGGAGCTGTGCTCTGTTCGCTGCTGACTCCCGTGCCTAGGACAGTGGCTGGCACATTGTAGGTGCCCAGTTCATGGCTGCCTCCATCCCCCTTCTTGGGTGCTAGGGATAGAATCCAGGGGCTCACCGTGTTAGACAGGTGCCCTGCCACTACCACAGCCCTGACTTTCAAATGACTGTAAAACACACACACCCACCGCACACCCCGATTTAAAGTTCCTTTGATCTCTTCAGATGAAAATGACCTGCCTCCTGAGTGCAGAGCCATGAGTAACCCATAGAATCTGATACGGGATTAAGTGCCGCCACTGGATAACAGGCTGCAGGAGCTTGGGCAAGGAAGAGAGTGGAGTCTCGACGTGTTAAGGGAAAGCTTAGTTTAAAGTTTCCTACTTAGGGCATCGGTTATTAAAGATGAACAGGTTTGTTTTTTTTTTTTCCTTTTTCTTTTTGGGTCACACCCAGCGATGCACGGGGATTACTCCTGGCTCTGCACTCAGAAATTACTCCTGGGGTGCTCAGAGGACCCTGTGGGATGCTAGGAATCGAACCCAAGTCAGCTGTGTGCAAGGCAAAGGCCCTCCCCACTGTGCTATCGCTCCAGCCCCAAAGATGAGCGGGTTTTAAAGTCTTGCTCTGTATTGGTTGGTAAGGATGAAGGGAAATAGAAGAGAAAGGTGAGCGTGGGCAGGGCATCTATGGACAGCCTGTGATATGGTGAAGCCTTACTGACACTTTGCCAGGAACTACCTTGTTTGATCCACAGTTCTGGAAAAATCCCGACCTCCCGGAAGTGTCTGTAGAACTGCCGTGAACAGGAGATGTCTATAGTCTTTATTAACTAATGCAACTATTTTTACTTTTTTTGCTGCAGAAATGTAACATACTTACTGAATCATAGGGCCTGCAGGGTTTCATGGCTTTCTTTTATAAATTTTGCCTTTTGGGGCCACTCCTGGCAGTGTGGGGAGACCGTGCTGAGCCCGGGCTCCTTCCAACTCAGCTGTTCGGTGCTGCTTGGCCTGCATGTGCTTTTCCCCTTGGCATTGCTCCTACGGCACCCCTGCTCTTGAAATGCTACACACCTTTATCTCCTAGCCACTGAAATCCAACTCATTCTGCATGTTTCCGCTCAAATTTCATCTCATCTGGAAAGCCACTCCGGGTTATCTTAGCCCAAAGAAAAACTGCCCTTTTCCTCTCCTTTTCTATGTGATACGTTGCATTTTTACCTTTTTTTTTTTCTTTTTTTGCGGGGGGCGCGGGGTGGGTGTTGGCCATACCCACTAGTGCTTGGGGGCTACTCCTAACTCTGAACTCAAGCTTGGGGTCGCTCCTGGTGGTGTTGGGGGTGACCATGAGGTACCTTGGGGATGCACAGTATAAATTGCAGCCTGTTGAGCAACCTCCAGCCCCACACCCTGGCTTTAATCACCGTGTTCGGTTTCTGTTCTTATTTGTCAACACTCTGGGAACAAAGTTAGAACATTTTCTTTGGCTATGCCTGGCAGTGCTCAGGGGTCACTCCTGGCAGGCGCAGGAGACCATATGGGGTGCCAGGGATTGAACCTGAGTCTGCTGCGTGCAAGGCAAGTGTGTTACTTGCTCTCCTGTTGCTCCACCCACTCTGGACATAAACTTAGTTTATTCTAAGACTTGTAACCTTCACAGCATCGAGAATTGTGCAGGATAGGGGCTGGAGCGATAGCACAGTGGGTAGTGCGTTTTCCTTGTACGCGGCTGACCCAGGTTCAATTCCTACCCAGGACCATCCCATATGGTCCCCCGAGCACCACCAGGAGTAATTCCTGAGTGCATGAGCCAGGAGGAACCCCTGAGCATCGCCGGGTGTGAGCCAAAAAGAATAGTGCAGAACCAGAGCGATAGGACAGCGGGTAGGGTGCTTGCCTTGCACGAAGCCAACCTGAGTTTGACCCCTGGCAGTGCATGTGGTCCCCTGAGCTTCCCCAGAGGTGACCCTTGAGTGCAGAGTCAGGAGTCATTCCCGAGCACTCCCAGGTATGGACCCAAAACAAGAAAACAAAACAAAACATCTGGAATTGTGGAGTCATAATCTGTAAAGAAGCCAGAGTCACATCAGACAAGAGGAGCGAGTCCCCGTGAATGCGGTCTGTGGTGGTGTCAGATGGGGGCTGGGGTGCTGAGAACAGAGTGCCCTGTGCGAGCACCTGGACGTGAGCCGGCCGGATGCAGAGCTTAGTGGGAGCGTCTCTTTGGCCTCGACTCAGCACCCGTCAGTCTGACAGCTTGACACTTTCGGATGAGACTGAGAAATGACAGATTTCGTTTCTAGTATCTATAAGTTGTTGGAATTAATGTGTTGTGTCCCCCCCTTGACCCCCCCCCCCCCCCCCCGTAGCTGGAACCCGCACGTCATTTAATTAGCATCCCTGTCACCTGATTGCTTGCCCCTGTTTACTGGGGACACCCTCCTCTGTGCTGCTCAGATGTTGAACTTCTCCTGTGGCGTGTGTTTCTGTTGCAGATGGTGTGGACGGCAAGCAAGCCCGGAGGACCAGTTCCAGCACCCCTCTAGGGGAGCTGTTTGATCATGGCCTGGACAGCTGGTCATGTGTTTACTTTGTGGTCACGGTGTATTCCATCTTTGGACGAGGCTCGTCTGGTGTCAGTGTTCTCGTGCTCTATTTCCTGCTCTGGGTCGTTTTGTTCTCTTTCATCCTGTCCCACTGGGAAAAGTATAACACAGGAATTCTTTTCCTGCCTTGGGGATATGACATTAGCCAGGTGGTAAGTATGTGTCCTGCCACAGATTTGCAACATTGCCCTGAATTCTATGGGGAAGGTTTTTTTAAATTTTTTTTCTTTATCGTCCTTATTGTTCATGATGCTTTTTGGGGGTTACAAAGGATAGCTGCTTTTTAAGATATTTCTTCCCATTTTTAAGACATTCCTTATTTATGAAAATGTCAAGCATATCCAAACAAAGAGGGCACCATATTATGAACCCTAACATACCTATTTTTTTAATTAAATTTAATTTTTTTAAGTTGCTCAATAACTTATTATATTCAACATTCCTATGCCAGTCCCACCACCATTACACCTTCCCACCACCATTATTTTCCCAGGTCCTAAGTAATTTATTTGGTATTGCGTACTATGACTAATCCGCTAAAAATTATACAGTTTCTGAGAGCAAAGTGTGTTAAGGTTGTTGCATCTCACCCTGCAGCCATTAAGCCCGTGTATAAGAGGCTACTAACTTGTTACAGGTTGGGCCTTTGTGTGCTAATGTTTTTATTAATTAATTTATCTCTCCGGATGAGATTGATTGTCTTCTACTTTACACTCCATCAGATGTGGTGTGCTGCTGTTGGTACATAAGTGGTGTAGAGTTTGAGATGTGGTGCGGCCACAAATGCGGCCGCCAAAAGTGCCTATTACTTAGCTTCTTGCATACCCCTCTTCTCCCTTCCCCTTGCTAACTGTGTGATGAGCTCTTTACTGTATATGCCCATGAATGGGAAGTGCTTTTGGGGGGGTATGGGGCACTCAGTGATCCAGGGCCTGGAGCCAGTCCCGGTGTTGGGGGCCACCAGGACTGCAGTCAGTGGTGCTGGAGCCAAGGAGGGCTGGCAGTTCTGAGGATGGAACCCAGAGCTCAGAAAACAATCACAGGGATTACAACTTGACATGAATGTGTGCATGTGCGTGTGTACGTTTTAGCATTTCTAAATTGTATAACTTTTTTATCATCATTATTTTAAATTTTATTGGAAACACCACTGTGATTTACAATATTTTAATAATGAGGCTTATGCAAACCTCCCAACAGAGTGTTTGCTTCCCTCCTATTTTAAGAACTGAAAGGTTTTAATATTAATACATTTTTATTCATTTGAGCTCTTGATTTCATAAAGAAAAATAGGCACACTGCAATTAAATTGTTGATGTTCTTGTTTTCAACATCTCAGTGAGTAGATAGATTCATTCTCTTATAGGCTATTAACTCTCCTTGCCTTTGAATGCAGATTTTTATGTTATCATTATCCGTGTTTGGAGCTAAGGAACTGAGGTGCAGTGAAGAGTCAAGTGGGAGTGTGTTACGTGAAGAACAGGGTTGGGTCAGCAGATGGGATCATTTTAGCCTTGGCCAACTTATAAAGGACATTAAAATCTTTCACCTGGTGATCAATTGTTTACACTGCCTAGAAATTTCTTTAAGTACAGTTGGCTTCAAAAAATTTTCTTTTGTGGGGAGAAGGGTTTGGGCCACAGACACCTGGCACGCTCAAGGCTTATTTCTACTCAGGGAGCAATCCTAGCAGTGGTCTGCGAGGTTTTTTTTTTTGTTGTTGTTGTTTTGTGGTATTGGGACTCATCAAACAGGGTCAGCCGTGTGCAAGGCAAGGACCGTAATCCCTGTACTACTTTTGGCCTCTCCCATTTTCTTAATCGAGTGGGGACTCTCAAATGGTACTCAGGAGGCCCCACTGGCCAGATTCTGCCAATTTGGCTGATAGTTTGGGCCAATACAAAGGCCCAAGGACATGGTGCTTCTTGGTCCCCGACTCGCCTCAAAGTATCAGGGATTACTCAGACCACCCCAAAATGCTTGGGGACTCCTCTATGCCTGGTGATGTTCAGGGGACCATGTGGTGCCAGGGATTGAACCTGGGTTGCACACATGCCAGACACATACCCGAACTGCTATGCTGTCTCCTAACCCTGAAAATAATTATTTTTCTAAAGGTAAGACATTTGTCACAATTTAAAAGTCAGGATACTTATACTCAAACTGTTGATTAGCGTTATACTCCGTAAAGTGTTATTGTCTCCTTGATCTCTCCAGCTGTTAATGCCTCCCTGCTTTTGTCTTGTGTTTTCCTTCCAGACTATTTCTCTTGTCTACATAGTGACGGCGGTTGTGGGAGTTGAGGCCTGGTATGAACCTTTCCTGTTTAATTTCTTATATAGAGACCTATTCACTACAATGATTATTGGTAAGAAGCTCCATGTTGAAGCCTGTTTTAACATCACTTTGTTATCAAAGCCAGTGTGTGATTATAATAAACCGCAATACCCTTCTCCTTCCCCTTGGTTCCCCAGCTAGCAGAGGACCACTACTACCTTTTTGAATGTCAGTCAGAACTTGTGAAAAATAAGATTTCTTTGTTTTGGTTTCTTTGCTCAGCACCAAACCTATTTCTGCTCTTAAGAAGCTTGGAAGATAGATCCTCCTGTTCAGATTAACCTAGACTGTATTGGAGGAGCCACATTGTGTTCGAAACTTTATGCTTGTTTCCATGTTGAAGATTATTAGTTTGAAAGAAATAAAGTACATTAAACTTAGAGTTTACTTTATAATGTAGCTGTTCCAAATATTAAACCTCTATACCTCTTAAATAGTCATGTTTTTTGGAAGGGGGTGGGGAATGGTCACACGTGGCTGTGCTCGGGGCTTACTCTGGGGACCATACGCAGTACCAGGGATTGAACTTGAGTCGGTCATGTGCAAGGCAATGCCTTATCTGCTGTACTGTCTCTCTGGCCCTCATGCCCACCTTCTTATGCCACTAAATGCTAGTAAGTAAAAGTAAAAAGTAAAGTAAGTAAAGGCCCTCCCATTGATCATCTATTTGCTTGAGCGGGCCCAGTAACGTCTCCATTGGAGACTTCGTTGTTACTGTGTTTGGCATATCGAATACGTCACGGGGAGCTTGCCAGGCTCTGCCGTGCGGGCGAGATACTCTCGGTAGCTTGCCGGGCTCTCCGAGAGGGGCGGAGGAATCAAACTCAGGTTGGCCATGTTGGCCGCTTGCAAGGCAAACGCCCTACCCGCTGTGATATCGCTCCAGCCCAAATGCTAGTAAATGTTGGCTTTTTTTTTTTCTTGTGATACCAAAAATTGTATTCAGGGCCCACACATGCCTTGCCCCGTGATAATTTTTTTATTATTATTATTTGATTTTAGCCTAAGGTACAAAATGATTGACCAGTGGGGAAGGATCTTTTCTGTAGAAAAGGCAGACTGCGAGTGGCGCCTGGGCTGTCACTCTGGGGCCCTGGGAATGGCACTAAATAAGGAGCTGTGCAGAAGTATTAAAAAATCGCGTCAGCTACTGCTGTTTCCTTATTCAAAAACATCCCTCGGGGAACCTGGGGGGTGGAATTAGGTGGCGTAGCTGGGCACTGATTTGTGGGAAAAGGAGTTGTTAGGGCTCTTTTGCTATGAATCGCAGATTGATTTTGAGCTCTCTGAGCTGTTCGTATCTTGGTACCTGTATACGCGGGGATCTCTTTGCCCTGAAAGGGCAATTTGTCGGCTCCCACCTTGTCGTGAATCTTTTGATTGGAAGCAGCTTGTTCCAAGGAAGATTTGCTGCATTTCAATTTAAATGTCAAATTTAAAGATAACCAGGGAATCCTCTGATACCTGAGTGTATTTTTGAATGTTTGTTGGGTAATTTAAAAGGCACTTACTTTGCTTCGTAGTTATAAACGTATCTGATTTCCTCCCTTTGAAATAAAGCGAAAGCCCACAAGTTTCTGTGCAAATGAAGTAGCTTCTCCAGGATAGAATTTGAGCAAACACAGATAGATAGGCCTTGGGACTGACCTTTCTTGGTAAGGGCTACTGCGGGGGGTGAGGTGACTGGGTCAAGAGGGATGATGAAAGGGTGGTAGTAGGTGGAGTGGCTCCTGGACTTTTGTTTGTTTGTTCTGTATGTGGGCCACACCAGGTAGTGGCCAGGGGTGACTCTTGGCTCTGCACTCAGGGTGCTGCTCAGGGGGTCATGCAGTGCCAGGGACCAACTCCCACATCTCTGGTCAGCCGAGTGTGTCTCAGCCCTTGTTGCCGTCTCTCCAGGGACCACTTGGAGTCAGTTTCTATTAACCGCTTAAAAAAAAAAGAAGCTGTCTTTGCATATCTGGCAGTTTTCTTGTTGAAAACCGGACGTTGTTGCTAATGCTTGTAGATTCTAGTAGATTGTAGACTACTCTGGTGACTTCTCTATTTTTGTCCTAATAGAGGGATAATTTGTCTAGACAGAACTGAGAAGTCCGTCTTTCTGGTGTACTATAGTCGGTGTCTGTGTTCAGTTGTTCTATTTCCGGTTACTGCTTTTTCCGCCCAATCGCTTCAAAGACTCTCTCTCTCTCTCTCTCTCTCTCTCTCTCTCTCTCTCTCTCTCTCTGTCTGTCAGTGTGTGGAGGTGTGCAGCATGGCTGCTCAGACTGTGTTCTTCACCCCCGCCCCTCCCCCACCCATGATGGCCTTGCTTCAGGGGTTTCCCCCTCTTGGATCTCTCACTTCTGAGATTTGATTTCGGAGCCACACCTGGCTGTGCTCTGGGGCTACTCTTAGTGGAGGCCCATGTACTCCCAGGCCTCCTGCCTGCACATCGCACATTCCAGCGCACGCCCCGTCTCTCCTGGCTCTTTAGTTGCTTGGCGGGCAGCTGCACTGTGTCCTCTGACACCTGAAGCCAGCCAGGCTGCTGCCTTCTGAAGCCCCGGTGGCGGAGCAGGACTGGGACTGTTCTTGGTGGAAGGTGAGACCCACAAGGGCCCTCAGTCAGCAGGCCGGCACCCCTCGCCGCGTCTGTCTGCCTTCTCTCTCGGCCCCATGGCAGTCTCTGGCCAGCTGTCAGCCAGGGATTTGAGCTGCATTGAGATTTGGAATCTCGGCCCTTTTGCACCTCTCTTTTTCTGTAAAACACCCCCAGGGCCAGAGTGATAGTACTGCTAGTAGGGCAGTTGCCTTGCAGTGTCCTGGGTTTGATCCTCAACATCCCATATGGTCCTTCCCCAGCCCACCAGGATTGATCCCTGAGTGCAGAGCCAGGAGTAAGTCCTGAACTCAGCCCCATGTGCCTCTTTCCCCAAACAAAACAAAAGAAAACAAAAAAGCCCTGCTGAAACTTCGGGCGTCTCTGCCGCTCTGAGTTCTCTTATCTGCCTCTCAGTGTGGTGAGGACGGCTTTCCATATCTGGGCTGCCCACAGACACTGCTGGGCCCTCGTGTTTCACGGGTAAATGTTTTTCCAGAGTCTGTGTGCCTTTTAATTATTTTCTAATGTCTTCAAAGAGTTGCAGCAATATCTTTATCTGTTCTTTTAGTGACTTTTTTGTTTGTTTTAATGAAAGGAGGTTCCTGCTTTTTTATTTTATTATCAGATTTTTATCTATGACTGTCTTACAGCCATTCTCAGTTTTTATTTTTTTAAACTTTTTTATTAAATCACTGTGAGATAGACCCTTTCAAAGCTATTCCTGGTTGGATTTCATATAGTGTTCCAACACCATTCCTCCACCAGTGTACATTTCCCAGTACCAGTGAACCAGTGTCCCCAGGTTCCCTCCCATCCCCCATCCCCCACCCCCTGCCTGCCTCTTATGGCAGGTGCCTCTCTCTCTCTCTCTCTCTCTCTCTCTCTCTCTCTCTCTCTCTCTCTCTCTCTCGCCCCCCCCCCCCTTGGGGCATTATGGTTGGATCTAACCACAGTGTGTGGGGCTGAGGGTAGGTAAGATAGAGAAGAGACCAGTATGACAATAACAGCTGGGAATGACCACGCTGGACAAGAACTGAGGGTTAAAAGTAGGTAAAGGGATATTCTTGATAACACTTCAGTATCAATGTTTCATTTCGTTTTTAGTCTCTTCAGTTTCTCTTTCGAGTGTTTTCTTAGAGAAAGTAAATATGAGTGTCTGTGTAGCTCTATCATCCCCTCAGATACTACAAGCCAGGTTTTATATTATTTATTTTGGTTTTGGGGTCACACCCAGTGGGGGTAATTCCAGGTTCTGCACTACAGGGATCATTCCTGGTGGGCTCAGGGTACCATATGGGATGCTGGGGGTTAAACTCAGGTCAGCTGCATGCAAGCAAGTGCCCTACCCACTGTACTATCTCTCTGGCTCCAGTTTTTTGTTTTTTTTTTTATTTGTGAATCATCATGGGTCACAGTTACAGACTTAGAACTTTCGTGCTTGCGTTTCAGTCATACAATGGTCGAGTACCCATCCCTCCACCAGTGCCCATTTCCCACCACCAATGGTCCCAGCATCCTTCCCACCACCCCCACCCCGTCCCCTCCACCCCACCCCACCTCTGTGGCAGGGCATTCCCTTTTGCGCTCTCTCTCCTTTTGGGTGTTGTGGTTTGCAGTCGAGATATTAAGTGTCTGGCCCCTGTTTTACGATACTCTTCTCCGCTGTGCAGGGGATCAGACCCAGGGCTTTTTCTCAGGAAAGACAAGTGCTTTGTCACTTCTCAGGAAAGGCAAGTGCTTTGTCACTTCAGCCTTATACTTGGCTTTTTCTCACGTGATGCTCTGGAGATCTCTACATAATGACAGACAAGGATCTGTCTCGTTTCTTTTTTTTGTGAGGGGTGCTCAGGGGGCCCCGGGCTACTCCTGGTAACACTTGACCTGTTGCAGTTTGGGCTTTAGCAGCGCTCTGGGCCTCCAGACTCACCCTGGCAGTGCTCAGGGGACTTGCAGTGCTGACTGTCCAGTACGGCACCTCCACATGCCAGGCTGAGTGGGAGCCGCTGGAGCTGGTTCCTTCTTCCACCCCTCGTGTGGCCTGGTCATAGTTATTATCAGTCTTCCTTGGACTTTTGGATGATTTCCAGTCTCTGGTTTGACACAGATTGCTACAGTGACTAGTCTAATAGGATGTCTGTGTCTTTTATCACTTTTGCAGAAGAGGCCCCCAGGAGTTGAGTTACTAGGGAAGAACAGTGTATACAATTTTACTAAACATTCCCCTCCACCCTTCTTTAGGAGCTATTTGATCTTGAATCCACCCCTAGCTGTGTATGAAAAGGCTCATTTATTTATAGTTTTCCCAACATGGAAGATTGTCAGACTGCAATTTTTGCCACCCTGACAGAAATAGTAAGAAGTGATATAGCTATATAGCTTTAGTTGGCATGTCTCTTACTATAAATGAACTTCTCTAGTGTTTAAGAGCACTTTTTTCTGTACATTTTTAATATCTCTAGGCCATTTTTGCTATAGGGTTGTTAATTTTCACTTTGTTTTTAGAAGCTCTTTATTTGCCTGACATATTCTTTGTGTCCCTAGGAATAAAGAGTTCCTCGTTGTGGTCTGTCCTTTCCACTTTCCTTAAAGATTTTTTTTTTGTTTTGTTTTGCTTTGGTATTTTGGCTCTGCACTCAGGAATTAACTCCTGGTGGAACTTGCGGGACCTTATGGGATGCTGGGGATCGAACCGGAGTGGACTGTGCAAGGCAAAGGCCCTCCCCACAGTACTATCGCTCTGGCCCAAAGTATTTTCTGTCTTAGTGGTTTTAACAGAAGTTTCTGTTCACTGAGGAAGCGTGGGATTTTAAAGAACCAAAATACTCTGTTGACCATACTTTGGTGTGTATCTCAATCTACTCCGTCCTTTTTTTCAGATTCCACTCTTGTCACCATCTATTCAATTTCCTAGGGCCTTCCTCTAGCTGTGTGAAAAGGAATCCACATACGAAGGGTTCTTCCTCTCTTATTATGTATGTGCTCGAAGGTTTTGTATGTATTCAGTGCTCTACAGAAAGTGTGTTAAATACTGTTTAGAGAAGAAATAAAAGGTGTGCTTGTGGGGCTGGAGCGATAGCACAACGGGTAGGGCATTTGCCTTGCACGCGGCCGATACTGGTTCGATTCCCAGCATCCCGTATGGTCCCCTGAGCACCGCCAGGAGTAACTCCTGAGTGCAGAGCCAGGAGGAACCCCTGAGCATTGCTGGGTGTGACCCAAAAAGCAAAAAAAAAAAAAAAGTGTGCTTGTGGCCACAGAGATGGGTCAGAGGGCTGGGGCACGGCCAGGAGTGGCACCTCATGAACCACGCTGGTTCTGTCCGACAGCCAGAAACCGAAGTGTGCTTTTGGGCAACCCCACGGAGCCCAGACTTCTACATGCTCTATTTAAGATAAGAGTTATTTGAAGACATTTTAAACTGAAATCCCTCTTGGTAGCAACTCCTTTGCACAGTTTTTCTTCACCCGTTTCTAACCCCGAGGCCTGCTGGTGATTTTGAGAACTGTCATTCGGCTCCCAGCACACGTCCTGTGTTCCTCGCTGGACGCAGAGAGAGTGGATGTATCTCAGCTTTATTCTTTTCCTCTCATTTCTCACTTGGGGGAACTTGGTTCTGCTTGGACTTGGGAGGGAGCAGAGTAATTGGTCTTTTAAGATAGTATTTCTATTTGATAGGCTCTAGTATTTTCATCCAAGTTTAACAAAATATCTTAGGAATTATATTTTGTTTTTCTCCTAATTCTGTGCCTAAGGGGCCAGGGGGGTTCACTCCTGCTAGTACCTGGGACGTGGTGTCAGAAATCGAACCTAGGCTTCTCACAGAGAAGGCGAGTGCCATTTTACTGGCTCTGCAGTTGCTTTGAAGGAGTCTTTTCTGCCATTGATCTTTTTTTTTTTTTTTACTTTTTGGGTCACACCCAGCAATGCTCAGGGGTTACTCCTGGCTCTGCATTCAGGAATTACTCCTGGCGGTGCTTGGGGGACCATATGGGATGCTGGCGATCGAACCCAGGTCGGCCACGTGCAAGGCAAATTCCCTACCTGCTGTGCTATCACTCCAGTCTCTGCCATTGGTCCTTATAACTGCGGTGGACACTCCCACCACCCAGCCCCACTCATTGGGAATCGAGTGCATCACCTAGGGTTAATATATCAAGTGACAATCATATGCCCGATTGAAGGGTCGAGAAAGTTGCACATGTATTTCACTGGAGTGAGAAAGAGAACGATCAGGAATTTGCATCTTTGCAGATGACAGAATTCGGTGATTTTATTTTGTGTGTTTTGGTTTAGTTTGGGGGCCACACCCACTGGAGCTCAGGGCCTACTCCCAGCTTAGTGCTTGCTTGTCATCCCGGGCAGTGCTCAGGGGACCGTGTGATCCTAAGGTCCAGTTCCGGTCGCCATTTGCTCAGCCCATTGAACCGTTTCTAGGCCCAGAATCAGCGTAGCAGAAAGTTCCTTACGCCACCCGCCTCATGCAGCGTGGAGTGCAACTCGGAGAGGTGGTCTGGTTGCTCTGGTGGCCCCCCGCCCAGGAAGCTCCGGAGAAGATCTGGCGGGGAATGTCAGTTAGGAACAGAGAGAAGCAAGGTGGCCTGTGAGGATGCTGTGTGCAGTTTCGCCAGCTCGTTCCCTGTTCCCATCAAATAGCTGATGGTGTCCCCTCTGGTACTGCCCCGGTGGTCCTCTGGGCCCTCCTTCATGAATCCTCAAACCCCTGTCTTACAGAAGGGGAAGTCGATGTCCCGACAGCTTAGTTCAGCAGCAGTCACCTCTCGGCCGAGACTAGAAGCACAGTCTGGCTCTGAAATCTGCTCGAGTCCCCTGCCCCTCGGTTGTGTTCTGATGTGTTTGATTTCAGGCCAGCAGGGGGCCAAACCCTAACCATTCTTGGGCCTACAGATCTAATGCATTTTGTGTGTATTAAATGATCACAGGTTGTTCAACTAATAATTTGTAATAACTCAAATATTCTTCCCTTTAGGTTGTGCGTTATGTGTGACTCTTCCAATGAGTCTGTCCAATTTTTTCAGGTAGGTTTTGCAATTCTTCTCTGGGCAAGAAATGTGGAAACCTTTAGACATTATTACTGAGAAGGATTTGAGTCTGTTTTCCTTTTGGAATCTGGACCCTTTGAGATCTCGAAACTCGTATTTGGACTCTAGAATGAGGTCAGGCTAACTTCCAGTGGGTGTACGTTATGCAACCGTAGCACCGAACTACTGCTTCGCTTGTTACAGTTTTGGGCTCTCTAAAAAGTCTTCTTAATGTCCCTTTTTTCCTTTCAGCCCGGGGAGGCCTCCCCAGGGCTGTACCAGTAGTGCCCAGAAGGCCATGTGGTACTGGGCATTGAGCTCAGGGCCCTGTGCATGTGCTCTACCCTTTGAAACATCTCCTTCACCCCTTGTTTGCTTGGGAAACTCACCTGGCAGTTCTCTGGGCCTGCTTCTGGCATGGTGCTCAGCCGACCAAAAGTTAACCCTAGCGCTCCCAAAGGCAAAGAATGCCCTCCAGCCTTAGGGCTGTCTTCCTAGCTCCTGGTCTGTCATTTTGTATCATGAATTTATCCACCAGGAATGTGTGTGTGTGTGGGGGGGGGAGGGTATCCAGTTATCCAGTTGAGTGCCATCATAATTATAGTCTGCCTTATAAATTGATTATTTCATAATTTTAGTTAGCATGATTATAAACCCCCCCACCCGAACTTGTGTGGTTTGGGCCCAGCCCCTGGACTCAGTCCTATTCTTCTCAACACGCATGACATGGACGTTCCTGCATGCAGAGTAGGGCCGGATGGAGGCGCCTCTGCAAGGCTGCGTGTCCTTTCCCAAGCAGTACTGTGTCTCCGTGTCTTCGCGCGGCCGTGCTGATGCGACTGCCATCACCACGGGCGTCTTTGCCTCCTCTGTCCTGCCCCTGCCCTTTCCACTTGAGACACTTCCTTATTCTTCCTCCTCCGTCCTTTAGCTCTGATGGGTCAGACCAAGCCCTGTGAGCTTTCCCTGCCTGTGGTAGCTGGCATTTAATCCCCCCGTTATTTATGGAAGCCCTGAAACTCAGCCTCAGAGCCCTCAGAGGTTCATTGGAGTCCTCTCCTAAAGATGAGGTCCTGGGGGCCACCTCTTGCTGAAGGGCAGGGAAACTTGTAGAGCCGAGGCCGGGGCATGGGGTTTGGCTTGGAGGAGCAGACCATTGTGGGATCACCTCTGAGCCCCCGGAGTCCGGAGCAGTGCTCAGTCTTTGCCCTCACTCCAAGTTCCGTGTGTCTTTGTGTCCCCTGATACTCTCTGTATCAAGGCATCTTCTAGCATTGTTTTGTATTCACTTGTCCTTCGCACCCTCCTCCCCCCTCCCCTTTAGAATAAAGTCTCAGGACAAAAACAAGGTTTTGTTCATCCCCTTTATCCCTTCTCCCTCCAAACACACACACACAGACTCACACTCACTTGCTAGTTTGGTTTGCAGAGAAAACAATGGGCGGGAGATTAGAGGATCTAAATGGGGGCCCCGCAACTTGGTAGCAGAATGGTCGAATTTAACTTCTTTGGAAAATGGGTTTTATAATGTTGCTTTTACCTGTACCGTGGGGGTTATTAGGAGTTTAAGGGCGTGGAAGTACTTTGAAAATTGTAAAATACACATGCAGCATGTTTTATATGTAATAATGTTCTTTGTATCACTTGATTTTTTTTCCAGAAGCTATAAAAATAACACCTTGAAACATGGTTCGTTCTATGAAGCTATGGTTCCCTTCTTCTCTCCATGTTTGCTATTCGTTTTGTCTACAGCGTGGATCTTCTGGTCACCATCAGATATTTTAGAGCGACATCCTAGAATATTCTACTTCATGGTTGGAACAGGCTTTGCCAATAGCACAGTAAGACTTTTCTTTTAAAAATCGTAATACGGGGCTGGAGTGATAGCACAGCGGGTAGGGTGTTTGCCGTGCACGCAGCTGACCCAGGTTTGATTCCCGGCATCCCATATGGTCTCCCGAGCACCGCCAGGAGTAATTCCTGAGTGCATGAGCCAGGAATGAGCCAGGAATAACCCCTGTGCATCGCCGGGTGTGACCCAAAAAGAAAAAAAAAAACGTAATACATATAAGGATTACATGACTATTTTGAGAAACTTTATACAGTATCTTACTGCATAAGAAATTTTAAAAAAAAGTTCATACTTAAGAAAACATGAAGAAAATTTTATCCGTCCCTTTGAACACAATAGAAGCTGGAAACTGCATAGTATTTTTCGAACCATGACTTACTCTTTGTTTTAGTGGTCTTCTGAAGAATTCATGGAATAATTTATAGATTCTCTTCAGACTCAATACTGCTGACAATACGTTTGAAGTGGTTGCGGATCTAATGACCAGTGGATTTTTTTTTCTTTGAGGAGACAGTGTGATAGTCTGAATTGGGGGCAGCCTCTCCTCATTGACCTGAATAAACTTCACTGGGGAGAGGTTGCCTGTGGGAGGCTGTTTTGAAGTTGTGTGAAATTTTTGTTCTTTGGGTTTTTTGTTATCATAGAATCTTAAAACGGGAGCGGTTTCTTTTAGCCAGAGTGTTCCCTGGGAAAGAATTCTTTCTGTAGCATCTCCCCAGCCCTGTGTGACAGAGAAGGGTCCTGTGGTTTTAAAGCTGGGGGCAAAGGTCTCCCTGGGCCCTTGGCAGTGGAGATTCTTGAACTTAATGTGTTGGCCCAAGTACTTGGCGGATCTTTTTTTTTTTTCTTTTGGGTCACACCTTTTGGTGTGTGGCCCCAAAACCAAACTCTTCCAGCTCTTCCAGGAGACGACCATGAGCACAGCCAGGTACAGTCCCAAAATACACAAACAAAAAAATAAACAGCATCAGAATAGGTACTGTATGTGAATAAATGATTGTTATTATTTCAGTCTTTCGAAGAGAAGGAATTTAAAGAGAGCGACTCCTTGAAAATAATTTCTAAGAGCACAGTGGTAGGGCATTTGCCTTGCACGCGGCCAGCCGGACTGACCCGTGTTTGATTCCTCTGCCTCTCTTGAAGAGTCCGGCAAGCAACGGAGAGTATCTTGCCTGCATGGCAAAGCCTGGCAAGCTACCCATGACGTATTTGATATGCCAGACTCAGTAACAACAAGTCTCACAATGGAGACGTTACTGGGCCCACCGAGCAAATCTATGAACAACGGGAGGCCAGTGCAGTGCTACAGTGGGTCACACCTGGCTTTGACCATAGGGGTTACTCCTGGCTCTGTACTCCAGAGTTACTCCTGATGGTGCTCAGGAGACCATATGGGATGCAGGGATCGCACCCAGGTCAGCCCCATGCAAGGCAAATGCCCTACCCACTGTACCTTTGCTCTGGCCTGGATTTTATATGTTGAAGCAGCGAGTTTGGGAAATGCTTGGCTAATTAAATTTCCATTCATTCCCTTTTCTTTTCCGTTTTGAAAAACTACAGTGTAAGCTGATTGTCTGTCAGATGAGCTCGACGCGCTGTCCCACATTGAATTGGTTGCTGCTTCCTCTTTTCTTGGTCGTCACAGCGGTCCACATAGGGGTCTCGTCCGAAACCGAGAGCCTCCTGCTGTACATGCTGACAGCCACCTTCACCCTGGCCCACGTCCACTATGGAGTGCGAGTGGTGAGTGATCCCGAACAAATTGGATCCCACTGGAGTTTTATAAATCGTGGGAATGAGATGAGGGACAGCTGCACGGACGCTGCTTAGTGTAGCTTGAGCACAGGCAGAATCTAGCCAGAAGCGTAGGGACATTCTTAAATTTTGAGTCTTTTACTCATGCTGTAGAATTGTAGATAATGCTTCTCGACTAAACCCAGGTAACTTTAAATCATTTAAAAGCTGAATAATTATACTAACAGTGTAATCTTTTTCCTATTTTTAGTAGGTAGAAGTGTAAACCATTTTCTAGGTGAATAGAAATATTAACTCTTGTGATTTTAGACATGGGGGCATTGAGGTGGTGAAGAGAGGCTCAGAGAGGGGAAACATTCCCTTCGCACGGGGAGCCGTGAGCTCAGTCCCTGGCACTGTGTGGTTCCCTGGGCACTGAGGGTGACCTCTTGTATGGCTCCCCAAAAGGAACGATGTGAAACTAGAGGTGGAAACTGTATGAAACACTGAGGGCGGCCGGGGGTGACCCCGACGGCTCTTCCCCTGGCCACCCAGGTTCTGGGGGGTCTGGGCCACGGGCAGATAGTGAACAAAACACAAGGGCCAAGCTGGTTGATTGATTAGATGCTCTTTATTCCATTCTTACTCCTGTTCACCTCTCCTGTCTCTCTCCTTCTCTCCCGGCCCCGATCTGCAATCCCTGGTCCTTCTGACTCTGTCTCTGGATCTCGATCTTCACCCCCACCCCCCTCGCCCCCCACTCTTACAGTCTAGTTAAATCCCAAAACCTTGAGGGACTGGGTTTACGACTAGGTGTGGGCACAATCAATAGGGTTAAAGTTCTTCCCCTCAGGGGATGCTGCTTCTAGGACAGATTCTCTTTCAGCAGGATGACCCACCCAAGGGCAGAATCCCATGGGTGTGTTTCTCCTCTCCTTGTCCAACAAAGGAAATAAGCATTCATAATATTAATCATTTTGTATGGACACAGTAAGAGATGCATTAAGCTTATAGAATTGCTCTCCTGGGGTCATCCCGATCTCAGACTACAGTGCTCAGGCCAGATTAGTCTTTCCTATGCCTAGCAGGGTCCTAGTCTTGTCGTTACTTTTGGATCATGACAGCATTTGTCCATGATCAAGCTCTTAATTTATAGTTAAGAATTGTGGCACTTTGGCCAGGCCCATCTTGGTGCCAGGGTAGCACATAGCTTACCACTTGCCCTGGTTCTTCCCACTCTCTCATCAGGACCCTGCTTTTGGGGGCGCTAGGAAGTGAGGGCAACTGAGGCTTAAGTTGAGAAAGCAAATGCCCGGGAATGAATAATATTCGAAGCCAATTAAGTCCCAAGTTACAAAAGCATAATGTCTTCTTGTGTCTATACAAAAGGACATTGCTTTAAAGTAAACTATTCAAAAGACTTAGGGAGAAGAGAAAAAAAACAGTATTTACAAGTCAACAGAGCACAAAGAAAAGAAATTACAAATAAACACAGGAATGGGAGCACTGTGATGGGAGCAACCCAATAAACCTAAACTACCTGAGGCTATACAGGAAGGACAGAACAGTGTTATCCTACAGGGACAAAATAAATATATAGGACCAAATAATCCCATTTCTGTCTCTCCTCTTTTTTTGACTGTTGGGACATTTTTACTGCTCATGAGAATAATTTGGAAAGAAATTAAATTTATTCTATCAGTACTTCCTGTCTGCTTGCCCAAATCTAATAATGTGGTAAGGAGGTTGGAACTAAAGAAATACTGGGGCCAGAGATAATATAGGGCAGGGCTCAAGACACTTGCATTTTGACTTAGTCTCCTAATTATGATGATTAATTACTATGCAGTATTCCACCAAGGAGATTGCTTAATAACTACCTGGTTTACTTAAGCCTGACCTACTTATTTTAATCATCTGAGTTGTTTGCAGTTTTTCACCTTTATAAATAATGTTTGGAGTGAAGAATCAGAAGCAAATGTTTTTCCCATTTGGTTTATTCACTGAAGATACTTTCATAGCGATGGGGCTGTATAAAAGAGTAGTCATATTTTTATGGCTCTTAAACTGCTTGTACTCGATAGACTTTTAAAGGGACCTGCTGTGAGTCGGTTGGACAGCAGAATGTCTTCTGTTTATTCACTTTTAAAATAGGAGGCAGCAACCAGAGAGTTAGCGCCATAGGCCGACCCTTCACACTTTGCTTGCAGGGGGCCTGAGTTTCTTCCTTCTTGCTGCCTGCTTCCCTGAACACTGCTAGAAGTGACCTCTTGGCGAAAGCCAGGTGTAGCTAGGTGTGGCTTCATTCCACTGGGGTGTGTCCCCCAAGTCAAAAGCCACCCCCCACCAAAAAAAAGAAAAAAACCTCCAAAAAAGTAAATTGAACTTAGGCTTCCTCCCTAGCGTTTCTCCCCAAAGTCCCCATGTTCGATAAAACTTCAAAATGAGTTGATATTGTTGTGGGGGGCTCCCCGGCAGTGCTGAGGGTCACCAGGGCCACGCGCAGTGGTGCTAAGGGAGACTGCGTGATGCCAGGGATCAAAACTGGACACGGTAAGCATGAGCCCAACATGAAAATTTTTTTTAATTATTATTAAATATTTGAGGAGCTGGTAAGATGGTACAGCGGGTAGGGTGTTTTCCTTTCACGCAGCTGCCCTGGGTTTGATCCCCAGTGTCTAGGCATCAGTGTTAAATACACAAGATTTGTGGTCCCCTGAGCATCACCAGGGCTGGAGCGATAGCACAGTGGTAGGGCGTTTGCCTTACACGCAGCCAACATGGCCGACCTGAGTTCGATTCCTCCACCCCTCTCGGAGAGCCCGGCAAGCTACCGAGAGTATCTTGCCTGCACGGCAGAGCCTGGCAAGCTACCTGTGACGTATTCAGTATGCCAAACACAGTAACAACAAAAGTCTCACAATGGAGACATTACTGGGCCCGCTCGAGCAAATTGATGAACAATGGGAGGACTGTGACTGTGACTGTGAGCATCACCAGGCATTGCCCTGCAAAACAAAACAAAACAAAATAAGACAAAAAAGTATTTGAATTATGACATGATAATCTTTTTATTTTTCTTTTTTTGGTGCAAATTTAGTATTCCATGCTTTACAATGAACTCTTGGGCTTGACATTTTATCAGTCACGTGCAGGAAGTAGAACATAGTTACCAGTAAATTTTTATAACTGATTTAATTTTTAATTTTTAAAACTGATTTACCCTTTAGAAGCATGTTCCTTTGTCCAGGATTTTGGGATGTTTTTGGTTTGCTTCTCTCTTCCTGTTCCCCCTCCCCCATGGCTGTGTGGGATGATTATATAGATGATGCATAGCATGTGATGCCCAAATTTCATCAGATTAAAGTCACTGTCACTGTCCTCCCGTTGTTCATCAATTTGCTCGAGCGGGTCCAGTAACGTTGTGAGACTTGTTACTGTGTTTGGCATATCGAATACGTCATGGGTAGCTTGCCGGGCTCTCCGAGAGGGGCAGAGGAATCGAATTCGGGTCGCCCATGTCAGCCACGTGCAAGGCAAATGCCCTACCCGCTGTGCTATCGCTCCAGCATCAGATTAAAGTACTTCTTTTATTTCTGAAATAATTATTGACTTCTACCGGTTTAGAATACTATATTGAATTTGCGTCTGCAGTTTCACAGCATGGCGAATGATGCCTTTTACAAAACCATACGTAGATACACTAAAACAGGCCTTTTTCTTTAAATTACAAAGGTAGTACATTTTTATAACTAAGAAAACTGAAAAATAGAGACATAAGCTAATTGAAAAAAGTCCCAGGAGCATGTTTTTTGTTGTTGTTATTATTTTTATATGTGGAAACCAAGATTTAGAAAGAAATGTTAAATAAACAAGATTCGTTAACTGGCACATAACCAACTTCGTGCCAACCTACTTGGAATAACTAGCGGGGTATAAACCTACCAAAATGCGCTAGTCTGGAGAGGACTATCTGGAAGTGTTAGGAGAAGCTGAATATTGACTCGACTCTAGTAGATATTTGATCTGGTATTTTGTTTGCTAATCTTAGAATCCTTTCAGAATCTTGGTGAATGTGTTTGTCTCCAGGGCTCCGAGAAGACTTGGTTTGGGACAGAGGCTGACTCAGATAGAATTTTTAGCTCTTGGGGGTGGTTGTAGACTCTTATCTAACCGTCTAACTCTGCAGCTTTCCTGGTCCAGAAAAAAACTCTTCATTTCTGACGATTTTCTTAAATTGTTGTCTCCATAGGGGAAACAAAGGAAGCTGTGTGCTTTTCAAAATGATGAGGTGCTTGTTTGTCACTTTCCTCTGTTCTGGTTTTCTACAGGTAAATCAGCTGAGCAACCATTTTCATATTTACCCCTTCTCGTTGAAGAAGCCAAACTCAGATTGACTAGAAATGGAAGAAAAGAATATTGGCCTGTAATCTGCAGAAAGAAGTACTGTAAATAAGAGGGTTGTAAATATTTCCTCCATCACCATCGAACTCGAAATGCATCTGCTCGACAGACGTGGGAACTCGGCATGTGTGGTACCTGGCCAGCAGGAATGATAAAGTTGATAGATCACACGGAATCTTGGGCCTTCTCACTTCCAGCTGACGTTACTTTTTGTAAAACCACGTGACAATTTAGTTAAGTATAATTTAGGCCGGCAAAGTGTTCCGAGTGATTTTAGCTTGAATCCAGAATGTTTTGGTTGATAGAGGGGTAAAGATGCTTTTAAGAAACTTTTTTTTGGTTAATCCACAAATTGGTTTACTAAGATTGGTACTCTTCAGAAAACCGCAGTATGTTTTCACATTTGGTACTTGGTGGCAGGCCTTCAGCCGTGAAAGCTTTCAGGATCCCAAATCCAGTATCGGGAAAAGAGGGAGTTACCTTCAGCCAGAGATGCCAAATGACATGGAACAATGTTCAGTTGCCAAATACTGATTTCTCTTTCCCATGGAAATGCCTTTTGTCCTCCTGTGTTAAGAGAGCTAATAGATCTCTGGTACCCTGGCTCTCTTTGTTATGGAAAAGTTCTTGATAAATAGCTTAATTTAAAAAAAGTCTCTTGAGACTTAGTAGAGAATGGACTATCCTTGTAGCTCACCCACTGGCATGTTCATTGTTTAAATCGGCATTTCCCCCCTCAGCTGCGGGTCACTGAGATTTGGTGCCTGTGAACTCTCCTTACCCGAATGCATGGACTCCTTCCTCCCTGTCTTGCAGTGATTCCTCGTACAAGACACATAGAAGCCTCCTTAGAATCAAATTTAATGCAGTTAGGAATCTCATGACTAACTATGAAATTACGACCATGAGCCTCACTACAAAATTAGTTTTCTGGTTCAAGTTGCCCCTTCCTCCCTCCTCTCTTTTTGTGCAGGAGATGTTGTTTTTACTTTATACAGGATAAAGACGTCAGAAGAAATCCTCTCTCACAGCTTTCCCACTCGGGAGCGTTTCCGCTAACTCTGCCTTACTCACTGGGGTGCCCTTTAATATGACCGGCAGTAACTCCTGAGGTTTACTGACATACAATTTCCTTTGACTTTAATGTGATTGTTTTATAGATTGTACCTTTTTCACGAGTGTGGATATTTTCTATTATTTTCTATCTCTTTTTTATCTTTAGTTTGGTGGTAGAAAATTTAACATGCCGGTTTCCTTTTTATTTTCCACTGAATGAAGTTTGTGCTTGAATGAAGAGTGTATCTTAAACCCTTTATTTTGTGTTTTTGGACGGATTGCACTTGGATATAATAGGCACCATTCTGTTGATAATGTAATTAAATTCATAATCATTATTTAATCTATGACTATTGTTAACTTTAATTATAATGTATTCCTTGAATTTCCATGTGCTGCTTTGTAAAAATAACTGTAATTGATACTTCAGGTTTTTTTGTTTTTGTCTTTTTTTCACTTGTACATTCTAATCATTGTCATTCAGGTTATTGGAAATGAGTCAAGGAACTAACTCATGATTCTGTATTCATTTTAAAAAATTGCTCATAAAGTTGAGGTGACTTTCTGAAAACAAAAGTGACCATTGGAATTAAGTGAGAAATTGATACAGAAAAACTGGGTAATGATTTTTTGTTTATTAATCAGTTGCCATGTTGACAGTCTGAGAATGAAACAGTTAATTGAAGGTAACTATTTTTTGTTTGTGTACCTGTTCTTATTACCTATAAAATTGAGTTGGATAAAGTGTTAATTTGGTATAAGGACAAATTTTATTTTAAGGTTTCTAAGTGAATAATTTTATTGTTTTTGTGAACCTTGTATGCAAAAATGAGATTAATCTATGTTATAGAAGAAAAGAATTGATAAATATTTATAAAATGAACTTTGGACCCCAGGCTTTCTTCATCTTGGAAAACAGAGTTAAAAAGCAAAAATTATTTTTGGGTCAGAGCTTACAGTGGGTAGGACTTTGTCTTGCGTGGGGCCCACCCAGGTTTGATCCCCTGCACCCAATGTGGTCTTCTGAGCTCACCAGGAGGGATCCCTGAGCCAGGAGTAAGCCCTGAGCACCCCTGGATGGGGCCTAATAAGCCACCCCCCAAATACTCTTTACTGGTATCGGGTCATGGTCTGTAATTCAGGGACTATATTACCTCAGAATGTGTTTCTGTTCTCTTTCTGTTGCATTAGATTTATCTGAAAAGTGTTTCATGCTTCCTCATTGTCAATGGCTTCTTTGCTTCCAGTGATCTTTCTTTTGGACACCTTGGATGAAAGAAAGTTAAAGGAAATGGAGCAGTGAACTCCGTTTGACCGTACGTGGGCTTGTGCGTGCAGAGTGCCCGTGGTGCATGTCTTCCTCCTGGTCATTATGTGGTCGGGTAGTGCATCTGACAGGGCTCTGCGGCTGCCGGGGCTCACCCACAGAGCTCTGTCAGGGAGCGACCCTAAGGTTTCCAAAGTCTGACATGTGTCCGGCTTCCATTTGGAATTTGGGACTGAGTCTGTAGCCACTGGTCCCTCCCAGCAGACACAGTGCTGCATTTTGGGGAATGGTGGCAGACTGGGTCAGTGCTGGTTTGCTCTACGTACAGAGTCAAGTGCCCTAAGCCAGCTCTGTGTCTCTGCTGACCAGAGGTGCCCAGCCCAGTGACAAGTTGTTTTTCAGGTTACAGTTTGGAAAATGTCCTTTCGTGCTTGTCAGAAAAAAATCCCCCTCTACTTGATTTTGAAAAAGCAAAATCTAAAAATAGCTAAAAAGTATGTTAATGCTGCCTTTCACAATTCTTTAATATGACTCCTGATTTTACTGCAATGCCATATTGCCACAATTCAAATTGTCATTCCTTCAGTGTTGCATAATAGATGTTCTCTAGTTTTAGTCCTTCTTCTTTCTTTTCTTCTCTCTCTCTCTATTTTTTTTTTTGGGGTTTGGTTTTGGACCACCCCTGGAGGTGCTGAGGGCCTGCTCCCAGCTGGGTGCTTGGGGGTTACTCCTGGTGGTGCTCAGGGGACCATCAATGACAGGGATTGAACCTGGGCCTCCTGCAAGCAAAGTGTGTGCTCCACCCCACTGAGCTGTCTCTCTGGTCCTATGAATTTTACAGTTCAGGGTAATGGAATGAATCATTTCCAAATTAAAAAAAAGTTTTGTTTTGTCTTTTTGTATTTTAATGCCACAGTGAGAATAACTTTAAGGGTCCGGAGCTGTAGGTCAGCAGAAGGGCACAGGCCCTGGGTTTGATTCCCAGTACCACTGGACAGGAAGAGGAGCAATGGGGAAGCGAGTGATTAAAAATAACTTTCAAAGTAGGGGCCTGTTATGGTCTGGGATGTTTTAGTCTATCATGTCATTTATCCTAGTAAGAGTTTCTGAGAAGATGACTGTCTAGAGTTGCCCACATCCTGAATAGATACCCACGGAGTATTGGTCCTGACCAGCAACCTGGGCATCCATCAGGGGGAATATGCTAAGATGAAAAACAGGCCAAGCATTCACTTGCAAGGGGAGATGGAATTCCCTGGTGTCAGTGCTTGTGAATGCAGAAACTTCTGCGTCTTTGACAGTCATTTATTCAGAACAACCTCGTGGCCCCAAACAGATTTTGATTCGCTAACATAGGAAGAATTAAAAGGATGATCCTAAGGTATCTGAATCAAAGATTGCTTCCCCCTTTATATTTTAACCAGAAAAGTGTGTTCCTAAGTCTGCCTTCCGCACCAGCTGTTCTTTGAACTAGGTCCTACCTAGGCCAGAGGCTACCCACTTGGCGTTGTTTTGCTCCAGACTCTTGCCACATCTAATCACCGGGATCTCCTGACTAGTCCAGGACTGGGCAGGGGCCAGAGGGAACAAAGTTCACCTCCAGGATGAACATGCTTAACTGTGGGTTCCCAAGTAAGCCAAAAGAGACGGCGAGACCTTTGTGTGAGGGGCCACGTTCCAAGTGGTCTTTACTTTGCTCTCTGCTGTGAGAAATTGTGGTGTCAGACTAGAATTTCCTCTGTCCTCTGCAGCATCTTTGTAAGGCAGCATGTCGGTTTCATTTTTGAACGCCCCATGGGGGAATAACCTTAATCGTTTTGCTGCTAGCTCTAGAATCTTCCAGGAGGAATTTGAATTAGTATGCTGTATGTGAGCACTGATGTGTGTAAAGTGACAGTTCTAACAGTCAGATTGTGTGAACTTCATCACTGAAATAGAAAATGATTCTCTGGACTTTTTTTGGCAGCTTAAATTTCCGGTTTTCCTTTTTTTAGGTAACCCATATGACTTGCGTGTTGTCCTTTTCCTCTCAGCACTGGTGCAAGTGACTGCCATTGACAGTTATTTTAGAACCTACGGCAAATCACGGTTGTCTAACTTTCCCAGAGAAAGTGGCACTACTCTTGATTCTTCCTTGGGTAGAGCCCTGGGAATGAGACTTATGGATTCATTTTCCAGTGTTTCTACAGTGCAAAAATAAACGTAACCTTACTTTGAACCTGTGTGACTAGTAACATACTTTGTTTTTTAACAAACAATTATGTGAGTGAGAATGGCATCTTGCTCTTTTGGCTTTGCTTTTTTTTGGGGGGGGGGGGAGGTCAAACCCAGAGATGTTTAGGGGTTACTCCTGGCTCTGCACTCAGGAATTACTCCTGGCAGTGCTTGGAGGACCATATGGGATGCCAAGGATTGAACCCAGGTCATCTGCGTGCAAGGCAAAAGCCCTACCCGCTGTACTATCACTCTGGCCCCGGTTTTTAAGCAGGGGCCCTGTGATGCGTTCCTGTTTAGACTGGGAAGAGGAGTCCTTCTGTTAGTGACCCTTGCTTGCCTTTTAGTTGAAAAGGCTGGGCTCTCAGACTTTGAAAGTGGCATAGGAACAGATGGTCTAGGAAAAATGGACATGACAGCAGGATTGTCAGTTCTGCCATGGTCCATTCGCATTGCCTTAGAGAGTTGATCTCCATTCTGGTGATGCTGTCAATCAGAGGGTAGCCAGAGACGCCCAAGTCCCACCAAAGTCGGAGTCAGTATTGCCAGCACACAGGCTGGTGGAGATGGAATCCCCTGGCATGGGTCTAGCGGGGTCTTCTCTCAAGTAATTGCTGTGGATAAACTCACTTTTTTTTTTAAATCAAAGCAGATGTAATTTATCATGAATTCTAGATTTCGATATTCTTGACAGGTCCTTTTTACTTCTAAAGAGTAATTTCGTGACCAGGACCCTGTCAATGAGTTCTTGGGGTGGCTAAGGCCACATAGTCTGACCTTTCTGAACTTTGCAAGGTCAGGGAGTGCTGGAGTGTCAGTGTCTGAATCACAGGTACCTTCTAGCTTGAAAATGACTAATTAAGACTGCCTGCAATATTAACATTTTTGGCAGATTATTTTGTTTGAAAAAAAATATCATCAGAGCAGCTGTTCAGGAAACAAAGAGCTGGCTGGCAGGGATTTGTTCATTCGGAGACGTGCCAAGAAAGCAGAATTCAGTATTGACCACCAAATCCCATCCTCTTTTCTTTTCTTTCCTTTTTATTTTTTTAAGTAGCACTTTCTCTGGTGGTACCATGAGGAACAGAGTAAATAATTACCTGGATAGGGGCCAGAAACAGTACAATGGGAAGGGCACTTGCCTTGCATGCAGCTGACGTGAGTTTGGCCCCTGGCATCCCATATGGTCCCCCAAGCACCAACAGGAGTGATTCTTGAGTGCAGAGCTGGGGTGACCCCTGAGTACTGCTGGGTGCAGCCCCCAAACAAAATAAAAATGACCTGGTACACTCTGTCTACCTGCCTTACCTTTCTCACCCAGCTCACAGATTAGATTGAAGGATGGCGAGAAGGATGGGGGTCCTGCCCTGTGACTAAGCCGAAGTAGGTATTCTTTAGCCAAGCCCTGTTGGAGTTTGCTTCCTGCAGGCCTGGGATACAAAGGGCCGATTTCATCCTTTCTCAGGAACCCCGGGACACCATCACTCCAGCTACTGAAGTACGTTGAGTACGAGTAGAAAAGAGGCCAGAGGAAGGCGACTTACAAAGAGCCAAAACCTTGCTTTCTCTTTCAGGCAGTCTCACTGAGCATGAGCCTGTCCAGGGGTGCCGTGATCATAGGCATGATGGAGTGTTTCTGTGCTCTGGCTGTGTGTGGTGTGGAGACTCACTTGCCTCTTCTGTGCCTGTGGTGTGTGAGAGATACTCTTGTATATATGCAGTCAACTCTTCCTTCAGTTACCAGTGACATGCTCAGCCCTCATTCGGCTCTTCATGCTGATTTCGCCTGCGTGTAGCCCCGAACTCTCAAGTCTCTCCCTGGGCTGGAGCCAGTGTTTCTTCCATTCAGTTCATCTCAGTTCCCCAGAAAGTCTCTGAAAGCAGTCACTTGCCATCTCCCTTGCGTCCAGGGGTTGTATGAGCCAAAAAGGTTCCAAGAAACTTGGCCCATCCTCCGGGCCTGGTCTGAAGCTTGATGGGCCCCATTCCTGCTACGCTGTGGGACACTTGTGCTCTGGGGCTTGGCTCAGGGCTTGGGGTTCCAACTCTTACAAAAACTGGGTTTCACAGCTTGTTTTAAGTCTCACTAGAATGTGGGAAATGCCGTGAGGTCTGCACGGAGCACAGTTCTAGTTGCACACTCTTGGTCACGGCACTGTTTCATCACCAGCCCCAAGAATCAAGGCCTGACTGTTCTTGCTATGGGATTTATGTTTATTTCTGCTGCAGTGAATCCCTAAAGTCATGCAGTGGGTTTCAATTTCAAACTGTTTCATTCTATTATTGGTAACTATTTATTGTAATAAAAGTAAAGAGTAAATGATTTTTCAATCCTTTTCATCGCTGTCTGATGTTTTTTCCTGGGTTGATGGGGATGCAGAGGCAACTTGGAGAGAAAAATAAATGTCAAGTTACTGAATGTTAGAAACTGTCTTGGAATGCCGTGCTAAGTCTCCAGCGGTTTCATGTATGCCAAGGTACCATAAAACTCCATCTCGGGCCTTGTGTTCTGTTTTGTTTTTGTCATGTTTGGGGGATGTGCTTGGGGGATGGGACAACACCTGACGATGATAAGGCATTACTTCTGGCTCTGCACTCATGAATTACTTCATCTGGGCTCAGGGGACCATATGGGATGTCAGAGATGGAACCCAGGTCAGCCATGTGCACCATTGCTTTGGCCCCCTGCTCCCCCAGGTGTTTATAATCCCCTGACTTGTTTCAAAAGGCAGAATCCAAGCCAGAGCTATAGTACACAGGTAGGGCATTTGCCTTGCACACGGTCAACCTGGGTTCGATTCCCAGCACCCCATATGGTCCCCTGAGCACTCTCAGGAGTAATTCCTGAGTACAGAGCCAGAAATAACCCCTGAGCATCACCAGGTGTGATCCAAAAAGCAAAAAAAAAAAAAAGGCAGAATCCTAGGCAGGTGATGATTCATCTCCGTGATCTGAGGCTCTTGACTCCCGAGAATTGCATACTAAGCAGCAGAACGGGGCGCGCTGAAACTAGCTTGTAAAATGGTGGTTTGCATCAGAAGCATGTGAATGTCTGATGTTACTTCTTCAGGCCAGTTCTGCAAACATCCCAGGAAATCCACGCATGCTCCTGCTAAGCCAGAGTTATCCTGAGCTCCCAGGAAACTCACTGAACATTGTCTCCGATGAGAGCATTAATAAACTATTTTACATCAGAGTTGGTCCCACAGCTCTAGCAAATGAGTGTTGGGGGCTTTGTGTGTTTGGGGACGGGGATGTTCCTCATGGTGCTTAGGGAACCATGTAGTGCTAGGGGTTGAACCCGGGGCTCACGGCCAGTGTGCTCCAGCACTTCGGATTTGGACCCAAATGGATTTTCTGTAGATGACTTTAAGGAGAGGCAAGAAATACCTCATATTTGAATTTTTTCTGCCCTTGATTTCCTGCCTGCCAGCATCTTAGTTACCCAGCTGTTGTTCCCTCCCTTCTGTGAATGTGACATGGCACAAGGGGACTGTGCTTGGGGCTGGATGACCCTTATAGAGAACTTGTGTCCCCCAGAGGTGTCATTTGTCCTGCTCCCTCTTCTCTGCTCACATTTCCTGCAGAAACATTGTAGGAGGGAGGGAGGGAGGGAGGACCCGGTGAAGGTGCTGGCCTTGCATCCTTCCTAGCACATGACTGACTGTCACTGACCCATGCTCAATCCCGGCATCACCTATGGACCCCTTGATCCCCACCAGGAGTGATCTCTGAGCACAGAGCCAGGAGTAATGCCAGAGCACTGCCAAGTGTGTGGGACTATAGAGAGAACAGGAGGTAAAGCACTTGCTTTGTGTGTAGCCAACCCTGGTCCCCACCGAGCACTGTCGGGGTCACTCCTGCACCTCCTTAATGCTGCTGCTCCCGATACCACATAAGGAGGTGCTCCCAGAATTCTCAGAGGGTTGTGCCTCAGATGAGAAGATAAACTTTGGGCCAGGAATCAGCCTCAGTGGCAGAGCATTTGCCTTGCACGCAGAAGACCCAGACACGGTTCCCCAAGCACTGCCTGTCTGCCCCACCAAAAGAAGTTTGACGGGGCTGGAGGTCAGTCCTGGTGGTTCTGGGAGACTGTTCAGTGGGCCTTACACCCCCAAACCTTAGCCAGCCCCTTCCCCCAACATCTACACAGCCAGTGTCCCGCTTTGGGCAGGTGGTGAGGTGGGACTCTGGCTAGGACCCAGGCCAGGGGGATTTCTAGGCGCCAAATGCTATCTGCGTGCTGTCTGGGGGCCTGTAATTATAGCCGAGCTCAGCATTTCATCTCCGCTCTGAGGAGAGCTGAGCAGTCTTAGCCCAGCCCCCGGGAGCAGCCGGGCGGTGTCTGCCGCTAATCACACACCTGGACTTTTAGGGCACCTTCGCGCTCTCACCGTCTCTACCCTTTGTTGCCACAACTTATTCCCACCGACTTCTCATGGCACCTCCCCACCACGGACACGCAACTCCCTTGGATGTGTCTTCTTTCTCACAGAGGGCGATGGAGACCAGGCCAGGATCTGCCAGGCCCTATCTGAACCTTATCTCACACCTCCCAGCCCCCGAGGAACCACTACAGATTATTAAGCAGAAGAGAAATTTGGTGCTGGGCCCTGAGACCCACGAGCCAACCTGGGAACCTGAGGCAAAGTCCCAGGCGACTGATGGGACAGAGGTTACCCATCTGATCTCTGCCACTTCACACGGAATGCCGCCTTGCCTCGGGTGGCTCTTGAACAAAGGCTTGTTTAATTTTTGGTGTAGGGCTTGTATCCTTGGGGTTCATTGTGCCTAGGAGCTGTTGGAAGCCAGGACTGCAGGACAGGCTTGGGCAGAGTTCTGGCACTTTCTCAGGACTTCCCTGCTGCCAGTGGGGCACATTCCTGGGAAATGGTCCCCCCCCCCCGCATCTTTGGGGTAATTGAGTCACACCCAGCAGTGCTCCGGGCTTACTCCTGACCCTCTGCTCAGGGATCACTCCTGGCAGGGATCAGGAACCCAGAGTGCTGGGAATTGAACCTGGTTTGGCCACATGGCAGCCAGGTGCCTTAACCCCTGTGCATCTCACCATCCCAAATGCCATGGTCCTGATGGACAAAGTTACAAACTTTCACCACCACCAAAGTGCATGAGAACCTCCATCACCCCAGCTCTGGTACGCCCTTGTCTGCCTCTTCTCCCCCTTGTCTTTTTTGTTGGTTTTTGTTTTGTTTTTACTACACCTGGAGGTGCTGGGGTACAGTATGTGGTATTAGGGATTGAACTGGGGTTTACCCCTGGCCAGTTTTACTTTATTTTGATTTGGGGGCTACACACCATGATGCTCAGGGCTGTTCCTGATTCTGTGCTCAGGAGTGAGCCTGGGTGGTATTCAGGGGGACCAGACGTGGCCTCAGGGATTTGAACAGGGTTGGCCATAAACTATGCAAGTGCCTTAACATCTGTGCGAGAGCTCAGCCCACCTCAACCCCTCGTCCTTGATTTCTTTCTTAAAAAAAATTCCCTTCCCTTCCCTTGGTCCCCTTGCACAGTTACAGCGCTTTGTCAAGGGCCTGCCCTCTTAGTGCACCAGAGTCGTGGCATTGGGGGTGCCCTAGAGTGAAGAAGCTGACATCAAACTCTGCATGGGAGGTGGTGCTGGAGATGGACCCCAGGGCCTCTCCACGCCTCATCCCTGTTCCTGAAGGGGCTGGGCTGCAGGCGCTCATGGCCTGCTCAGGCTTCCAACCTACAGAGTCGGTTACAGAAGACACACTGATATACTTGGATGTGCACTTCTGTTTCTTGGTTTTGGGGCCATATCCTGCGATGCTCAGGAATCACTCCTGGCAGTGCTCGGGGGACCATGTGGGGTGCTGAGGATTGAACCTGAGTCAGCTGCGTGCAAGGCAAGAAGCACCCGCTGTACCATCTCTGTATGTGCGTTTGTTGCTAGCGGGGTGCTTCCACATTCAAGCGGGGACTCCCAACTTAATTGGCCTCGAGTGGAAGGATGCATTACGCTAAGTTCAAACCTTCCGAAGAGGCAACAGGCTCAGCGTGAACCTCCCAGGAAAAGACTGAATCCGGTGTGCCCCCAGATGCTCAGGTCCGGCCGAGGGGCTCCAGCACCGACGTGCACCAGCACGGAGGGTCTCGGGGGCTCCCACTGAGCCGACGCCCATCATCTGGGGACCAGTTCGTCGATGAATGCATGAATGAGTCAGCCCGCTCTATCATTCTCGCCGTCTCCTACCCGACGGTGCCTTTTCGGGGGCTAGAGGAGACCCGACCCCGGACTGGCCTGCAAGCCGGGGGCGGGGCCTGGGCTGCGCGCGCAACCCGCCCTAGCAACCGCTTGTTGGTAGCAACGGCGCGGCCGCAGGCGTGGGGTCCCCGCCCAGCTCCGGGCAGCCGAGGGTGCAGCTATGAATCCTCAGGGGCCCCTGGGGGACCTGCAGGAGAAGGATGAGGAGCGCCTCACCAGCGGGATTCTCGGGCCCTCGGTCAACTCCGACTTCATGCAGGAGCGGATCCAGGCGCGGCGGCTCCGCATCGCGGCGCGCCTGGAAGCCCGGCGGCGGTGAGCGGGGTCGGGGCGCCGGGGATTCCCCCAAACGCTGGGTACTGGGACCTCCCGCGCGCCCGGAGGCCACAGAGGACACAGCGGTGCTTTGGGCACCCGGTGACCTGTCCCAGGTCTTCCCGTCCCCTCTCCTGCGGGCCACCTTCCGTCTGCAAGTCCATTCCGCGGTCGCCGCTGTCTCGGTGGCTTGCCCACTCACTGACCCAGGGGACTGCCATTGGGGCGGGGCCGGGATGGGGGTGTCCCAGGGCTCTGCTATACTTTTGCCCATCGACCTCAGCTGCCTGCCAAGACGGCGGCAGGCAAAGGACACCAAGTGACCTAGGTGGCAGCGGTCACTTGTTCAGCGGGATGAACAAGTGCCGTGTGCCCTCGAAAAGGTGCACATCACTCCCGCCTTGCCACCCACCTCGGACCTCTGGCCTGGCAGAGAGAGTTGGGGAGACAGAGAATGCCAGGGGGGCCGCGTGGCAGTGGTTGCATGGGGGACAAGTCACCTTTTCTCAAGAGAGGCTCCAAACCACATTTCAGCCTCTGGGTCATTGCAACACTGGGCAGTCCCCTATGTGGGGTGCCCTGCGCTGGAGGCCTGCCCTGCCTCTGCAACCTCTTTGCCGTGAAGTGGGACCCTTGGACCAGATGGCGAATCGTGTGTGAGTCCAGGCCCAAAGCTCCCACTTTCCGTTACCCGAGAAGCACATGTTGGTATGACACCCGGGGCTCTGCCACTGGGAAGGTATTTCCTCTCCTGTCAAGGCCTTTCCCTGGCCTGGCTGCAGCATACGCTCCTAACACGCCCCACCCCCCACCTAGAGAGCTGGCTGTTTCTTTTTCCTATAGTTGGTTGTCTGGGGATCTTGATCATGAGGGGTTCAGTGGGATGTGCGGATTGGGACAAGCTACCTATGTTTTGGGCTCTTTCCCATCTTATCCTGGATAGCCATGGCGTACCTGACCTCTGGATCTGGGATGTTCTAGAAGCCAGCTTCTGAGGGGCACCTATGATCTGGAATGTTCTAGGAGCGGCTTCTGAGGGAGAACAGCTGTGATCTGGCATCTGTGGGAGCAACTGGGTACCACGTGTCATTGTCTGCCTGGTCCCTTCCCACAGGGCGCGCGGGCTGGCTGCCCTACTGGCTTTTCTGTGTCTGGTTCTCGGGCTTGAGAGAGAGTACAGGGTTAAGGCATATTCTTCGCAGGTGGTTACCCTGGTTTGATCTCCAGCACTGCATGTGGTTCCCTGAACCGTTCCAGGAGTGATCCTGAGCACAGAGCCAGGAGGAAGCCTGAGCACTGCTAGGTGTGGCACAGAGAAGCAGTATCTGATCCTTTGCCAGAGGTGCTGGCCTTGCCCCCGCCTTGCGGACCAGCTGCTTTGATTCTCTACTGGGGCTGATGGTAAACTCCACCAAGTGTCTTTTCCACCAGGGGTGTTTGTGGGATCAGGTGGCCCAAGGGGCCAGAGCTCAATGCCCCACTCACAGGGGTCTCGGGATGCCAGTAAGAAGGCACCATGATCCCAAGTGTGCTCCGACACCCTCTTGGGACTGAAGTGGCCAGTGGGATACAAGGTGGCCTTCTTTGTGACAGGGACACATGGCAGTCTATGGCTATTTGTATTTGGTGTCACTGAGCATGACCCCCAAACCCTTTAGAGGTGCAGCAAGCCACTGGTTTCAGAGGTGTTATTCAAACTCCCGGAGTCCATCCCTGCCCGCCCTGGGCTCCTCCCCCCAACTCCCACCCCCTCCAGGTTCCTCAGGGCTTGGCCAGCCTTTCCGTACAGGCCACTTAGGAACTCTGGGGAGGGCCTGCACGGTCCTTGGGCTCTGTCTGGTGGCCATCACCCTATTCTGTGTGAGGGAAGGATTCCGTGGCACAAGCTAGTCTCTGAGGGCTGAGAGATACTCAGTGAGCAAAGGCTCTGAATGCAGGAGGCCTGGATTCAACCCCTGCCACACGTGGTCCTCCCCACTCTTCCAAGGGTCATGCAGAGCCGGGAGTAGCCCTGAGCACTGCTGGGGTGCCTCCAAAACTTTAATTTTATTATCATTTTGGCCCTGAAGGCCACACCTAGCAGTACGCAAGGATTACGCTTGGTTTTATGCTCGTGTATCACTCCTGCTAGGGTTTGGGGGACCATAAAGGGTACCCAGGATCGAACCTGGGTTGGTCACGTGCAAGGTAAGCTTTGTTCCTGCTTTACTATCTCCAGCCCCTCAAAAATATTTTTTAAAAAGTCTTTACCTTTGATCTTTCCTACTAAACTAATAACCTTTTTTCAAAAAAAGTTTTAGGTTGGCAGCAAAATTCAGTAAAAAGTGCAGACAGTCGTGGTGCGTGTACCCAACCCCGCCAGTCCCCTCAACCTGCAGCCCTGCTGAGAAGCTCTGGTCCCCATGATGAGCCTCCCTGACTCCAGGGAGTCATTCTACAACTTTAGAAATCCATTCTACAACTTTAGAAGTCTGCCTATACAACGACGCATACGGTACAATGACACCGTCGTGGTGTCGCCTGGAAGTCTCACTGCTGTAAAGCTCCACTGTGTTCTGCCCCCTTGCCCCGGTCCCCTACCATTACGGAAATCCCAAAATCATCTTAGGGGGCCTGAGTGCAGGCTTTGTATGCTGGAGCTCCGGGCTCACTCTGGTCTCCCGAGCCTGACCCCTGAGCACTTGCTGGGAATAACCCACGAACACCACCAAGAGTGGCTCCAAAACGAAATAATCAACAAGAAAGACAAGAGGCGGGGAGTCGGATAAACCTTTGCTGTGAGCCATCCAGAGAGCAGGGGGTGCTGGGGTGAGACTTTTAGTCTCAGTGGAGGACACAAAGGCCCTTGTATGGACACAGAATTTTTTTTTCTTTTTGTTTTACACCTAGCAATGCTCAGGGGACCATATGGGATGCCAGGGATTAACCTAGTCTGCCCCACGTGCAAGGCAAACGCCCAGTGACCCCGAGACACAGACTTCTAATATACACTGTGGGTGCAGGTTGTATTTGACCCTGCAGGTGTAGTTGGCTGACCCTCAGCCAGCCCTGGGGGGTCAGCAGGTTTCGATAGAGACAGGGAGGGTTAACACAGCTGGCAGTGGGAGAGCTTCGTGGGTTGTTATGATGTGCACAGGAATCTCCGGGGGCCTTTTTCTGGGTTGGGGTAGAGGGTGATGCATTTGGTCTCCTCCCCCCGCCATGAGGATGCTCTAGCACAGACCGTGCGCCTTCGTGGCCCCTGCTCCGTGGCAGCCGTTAGGGACAACACGCTCGCCCAGCTTCTCTGCTTTCCCAGCTGCTGCTCGGCCAGGTGCTCGGAGTCGGGGCTCGGCACGGGCCTCTCAGAGCAGCCAGAGTGTGCAGGGCTGACCCACGAGTGACTCTCTGGAACCCTGGACATCCTGAAGGCCCACAGCAACCCCACCCCTCCCGCTGGCTGCAGTGCCAAAGGTTTCTGGTTGGTGGTATCCTTCCAGAAGTTTCTACTTGGTCTTCCTGTCATGGGGGCAAAGACGCCCCCTGGGGTTGCTCTGATTTTTTTTTTCTTTTTGGGTTACACCAAGCGATGCTTAGGGGTTATTCCTGGCTCTGCACTCAGGAATTACTCCTGGCGGTGCTTGGGGGACCATATAGGATGCCGGGGATCAAACCCAGGTTGGCCACGTGCAAGGCAAACGCCCTACCCGCTGTGCTATCACACAGGCTCCGGCCCCTGCTCTGATTTTTGAGGATATTAATTCCAGTTATCCATTCAAAAAAAATGCTCCCAGGGCACCTTCTCTGACAGCCCTGTTCTAGAGGGAGTCTATGCTTCCCAGGCCTCTGGTCTCCATGACAATCCAGGGTCCTAGCGTGTGTGGTGGCTCCTTCTCTGCATTGTGTAGTCAATGACCACAGTGACTCTGGGGGAGGCAGCGAGGGGCTGGGGGGATGGGGGTGGAAATTCCAGATGCTGTAGAAAGAAACCATGGGATGGAGGCACTTCCTCCGTGGGAACTGCCCCGTCTCTCCTGTCTCTAAAAGCAGGCTGAGGTCCAGGAACTGGGCACGGGCTCCTGACTTTGTGTCTGCTTCATCCCTGCCTACTGCTGTTTTCTTTGGTTCAGGGACCCGCTCTCCCCTGGTTGGCTGCCCTCCGGCTCTGCCCCAAGCGCTGGCAGGTTCTGTGAAGCGCCTCCTTCAAACTCTGGGTGAAGCACAGGTTGCTGCTTTAACCTGAGCCCTGATTCCAGCCAGATTCCCTGTTAGTAAACTTAAATAAAAAACAACCCAAAATATTATTATAAAAGAGCAGTGGATCAGTATCTTTGAATTGTCTGAATATGTTTGGGGGCAATAAAAATAAAAAGAGGAAAGTTCTCGCAAAGATTCCCCAAACTGGACTCCGCAAGGCTTTTCGGCTGAGCAGTATGAGAATAACAGTGTCAGAGGGATCTAGGTCAGTTTCTTTATGTGCATCATTTTTGGGGGGATGGGGGGAGTCGCACCCCCCCACACACACACAGTAGTGCTTAGGGCTTACTCCTGACTCTGTGCTCAGGGATCACTCCTGGCAGGGTTCAGAGGACCATATGTGATGCCCGGGACTGAACCGTGGTTGACTGAGTATGAGGCAAATGCCCTACCCACTGTACTACCATTCTGGCCCGTTCATATGCAGTTTCAGTGACTGGGCTATTGTTGACGTCAGGGTTTTCCTGGGAAAGGTATGTACTTCATCATCTGGAGCAGTTCTTGTGTTGGAGGAGAATCTCCCCCGCTGTGCTTGAGTGTCTGGAGGCTACTTGTGTGATCTGGGACCTGTTGATATGGACCTGGAAGCGTGCGGAGACACCAGGGTCACACCTGGAGGTGCTCAGGGGTCACGCATACCAGGGATTGAACTCAGGGCCTTGTGCATGCAGGGCATGTGCTCCAACCCAGCTGGACACGGGGTAGTTCTGAACCTTGTCTGTTGTGCCCTTAGAACACAGACCTGTAGCCTGTGGGTGTCAGTGGCTGGCTGCATGACTGTGAGACTCCCTGATTAGCTCCTTGTTCACAGGAGAGGAGGAGACAGTGGCTGGTCTAATGCTTATGTGTGTCCTTCTCTCAGTTTTATTGGGCCTCTAGTAGTGCTCAGGGACCATATAAGATGCCAGGGATCAAACCCAGATTAGCCGTATGCAAGGCAAACACGCTACTGTCCATTCACTCTTGTGTGTGTTCTTAAACATCAACAGTCTAATCTAAGAAGAGAGCTTACTGCGCAGGGCCTTGCCTTACACACGGTTGTCTCCAGGAGTGATGTTTGAGCACCGAACCAGGAGTTAGCCCTGATGAGTAAGTCCCAGGAGTTCCAGGGACCCCAGTATGGACCCAAGGATGCCACCCAAGGACCCCGGCCACTGTGGTGATACAAGAGAAAATGATTTTAGGTGAAATTCAGGTTTATTTTATTTGGCCTTATATATAAAAGTATTATTTCAAAGAGTAGCCTAAGTCCTGTTAATGAGCTCTATTACATTTTGGGGGAGATTCAGAGCCTTCAAACTCCAGCCATCATGTGTTGGCACTCAACACCCTGCATTTCTGCCCTCCAGGGTGCAGGGGTGCAGTTCCTGCAGTGGGGTTTGGTGGCTGCAGGTTAGAAGGAGCCAAAGTGAGAGAGAAGGGGCAGCGTGGGGCCAGGCTGAGCCCCACCAGGCCCCCCAGGAAATGTCCAACCAGAAACTGGTCCTTACTCCAGAAAGCAGGAGGAGGCTGAAGGATTTATCTCTTTGTCCTAAAAAGTGGGAGGTAGGGGCTGGTGAGTGGGTGGTGATAAAGCTTCATTCTGCAGTCTCCGAAAGAAATGAAACAACTGGTTTACTTACTGAGGGCTGCAAAGACAGGGAAGAGAATGAAAAATCAGGAGAAGGCACTTCTTGTTGTTGGTGATGGTTTGTTTTTAATGGTGTCCATCCCCCCACCACACACCCCCGCCCCCTGCCCTGGAAGTTAGGAACATGATCTTAGTTGGAGAAGAGTCTTTGTTTGTTTGTTTGTTTGTTTGGGGATCACATCTGGAAGTGCTCAGATTACTCCTGGCTCTGTGCTCAGAGAGATTATGCCTCATGGTGCTCTGGGGGACCATATGGGATGTTGGGGGTCAAATCTGTGCCAGCTGAATGCTAGGCTAGGCAAGCTCTCTATCCATTGTACTATTGCTGTGGCCCAAAGTTGTTCTTATAAAAAAAATTATTTAAGCACCATGATACTGTTAATATTAGAGTTTCAGGCTTGGACAAGGCTCATCCATGAGTGAATCTGCTAGAAAACTCAGGTATGCGGGTTTTGTGGCTGACTCACACAAAGTCTGGAATGGGTGACCTCCCTCCATCTCCTTGTTCTACCAGGAGCCTGGCAGTCATGCCCCAAAACTGCCTCTGGCACCACATAAGTTCATTAACAGCCATGATCCAGAGATTCACATAAATCTCAGAAGAGAGCGACAAGCTGCAGAGATGCCTCTGGACCCCAGAGTCACCATTCAGTTAAAAATTTAACTCCAGCTCTGTCACCCTATCTAAAATTTTAGAATTTCTGCAAGATGCGGCCACATTTTTGTCCTCACGACATTTCATACTTTATGCCACTGATGTATCAAGAGTAGCAGACCACATTTGATGGTGTGCAATGTGGAAGGCAATTGATTTTGATCATGTATAATATATATCTATATATAAAAGCACACAGGGCTCAACCTGCAACAACATATTAGTAATCTCTTACACAAGGGCTTAAGAGCTCCAAGGCAAGATACAGCAATTTTCACAAGCTTTCCTCTAAGGAAACCTTTTTAGATCACTTTTAGCAGATTATTCATAACAAGCAATACAAAATAAATGATCTAGGATCTGCCTTTAGGTCAAGCTTGGGTGGTAGTTGTGAAATTAGAAATAATGGTGGTGGGAAGGTGTAATGGTGTTGGGATGGGTGTTGGAATAGTGAAGTAATAAACTACTGTGAACAACTTTATAAAAATAAAATTTTAAAAATTTAGAGTTTCAGGCATACAGTGTTGTAACTCCACATCCGCTTGCAGAGTCTTAGCGCCCCTCCACCCCAGCCTAGCACCCCCTAGCTAGGCTCAGTTCTGTAGGCCAATTCTGAGACTCTCTTTAGCCACTTGTTACTCCCTTCCTGTGTTTCTTTATGTCCCTCGAGAGATCACTCTGCGTCTGTCCGTCTGTCTGTCTCCCCCCCGGCTCACTTCACTCAGTAGGACACTCCAGGTCCTTCCACCTCGTGGCGAATTACAGGACTCCATCTTTTCTCAGACCTGAGCAGCTTTTCATTCTGTGTATATGCCAGAGTTCTTTTATCTGGTCATCAGTCCCTGGAAACTTGTGTTGTTTCCATATCTTGTTTATTATGAGCAGCACCGATATGAACATAGGACTGCAAACATCCTTTTGAAATATAATTTTTGGACTCTTGGGGGTCATTGCCTAGAAGTGGACTTATTGGCTCATATGGCAGCTCTGGTCTTACTTTGTTGAGAAATCTCCATACTGTTTCCCGTAGAGACAGAACCAGGTGGCATCACCAAAAGGATTAAAAAAAAAGGAGCTTTGATTAGATTCAGAGTGGGGATATTGCAGGTAGAGAGATGCGGGAGGGATCCCTGATAATGTGTATTGAGAGAAAAACACTGGAACCTAAATCTACAGAAAGGTATGAAGGTAGTGGAGACTCATCTGAGGAGCCCAGCTTGGAACATCTTCCTGAGAAATTCCACGCGGGGCGTTCTGGAGGAGGGACATCTTACTAAGACTGTCAGAGACGTTGCCGCGCTCCCTCCTGGCAAACCAGGAGCACTGGAAAGACACTAACTTGGCAGGGTCAAAGGTGAGCGTTTCCACATCCTGGGGAAGTGCCCCGCATCTCTGCCTGCGGTGTGGACTCTCTCGCTTTATGGTCTCTGTCTATTCGTTCCTTGGCATATTTCTTTGTGGTCTTGGTCAGATGCTTGTAGATGACACAGAGGAGCAAAGCTACTGTTACAGTTTTTTTTTTCTTTTGGGGTCACCTGGCTCTGTGCTCAGGGATCATCCTGGCAGGGCTCAGAAGACCACCTGGGGCCCCGGGGGGTGGAATGGGTCAGCTGTGTGCATTCTCTTCAGCCCCTCACGTTTTTGATTCACTGTCATTGTCACTGTCCTCCCATTGTTCATCGATTTTCTCGAGCGGGCCCAGTAATGTCTCCATTGTGAGACTTGGTTGTTACTGTGTTTGGTATATCTAATATGCCACAGGGAGCTTGGCCGGTTCTGCCGCGAGCGAGATACTCTCAGTAGCTTGCTGGGCTCTCCGAGAGGGGCGGAGGAATCGAACTCGGGTCGACCATGTTGGCTGCTTGCAAGGCAAACGCCCTACCCGCTATGCTATCGCTCCAGCCACGTTTTTGATTCACCTTGAAAAACTGCTTTTGGACAGGTGGTGCCATGTCACCTGGCCACCAGGGGAGGTGGAATCACTGGACACTTGTGACCAGCCTCCCCCGCCTTCCTGTCTGAGAGGGAAGGAAAGGCCCCTCTAGGCTTTTCCGCCAGGTCTTGCTTCTTAGTAAAGCCGAACGTCTTTTGTTTGGTTTTGGGGAGGCCACACCTGGCTGTGCTCAGGGGTCACTCCTCTCTGGACTCAGGGGATTATACAGGAAGTCAAAGATCAAACATTTTCAGGTCAGGCACATGCAAAGCGAGCATCCTACCCCTGTCATTTCTAAGCAGTCCCCCATGGATGTGTTTTTAAGTGTCTTTACCCTCTGCACTGCTTCTGCACCTGCCCCCTGCCCTGCTCTCCATCAAATTTTCTATCACTCTTCACTGATTTTTTAAAAGCAAATAGCAGAGGGACTGGAGTGATAGCACAGCGGGTAGGGCGTTTGCCTTGCACGTGGCCCGACCTGGGTTCGATTTCCAGTATCCCATATGGTCCCCTGAGCATGGCTAGGAGTAATTCCTAAGTGCATGAACCAGGAGTAACCCCTGTGCATCGCTGGGTGTGACCCAAAAAGCAAAAATAAATAAATAAATAAATAAATAGCAGAATTTTGTCAAATATCTTTTATCCATTTATCCCTTGGCTTCCAAGAGTATAATTTTTTAATTTCAGGATTTTAAAAAAAATTAACTCTTTCCAGAGGGAAGAGTGCTTGCCTATATTTCTCTGTAATTTTTCTTTGTTTTGGGGTCATGCCTGGTGGTACTCGGGTTTACTCTTGGTTTGCACTCAGGGATCACTCCTGGCAGGGCTCAGGGGACCATATGGGGTGCCGGGGATCCAACTTGGATTGACCGTGTGCAAGGCACATGTCTTCCCACTTCCCAGCCCTCTCTGGTCTTTTCTATTATTACCTTTTTACGATTTCATTTTCCTCCCTATGGTACATGTCTCGGTATAGAGTATGAAACACAGCACCGTCATTAAGTGCAGGATTGCAGTATTCGGAATAACTTCGTTTTCTCTCCCTCTTTCCCATCACAGAGAAGCCCTTGGCGAATACTTAGATGGGAAGAAGGAGAGTGAGGAAGAGCAGAGCAGGAGCTATAAACAGAAAGAAGAGAGCCGACTGGTATGGGTGCTGGCGAGTGCGGGTGTCTGTCCTGTAAAAGCAGGTGCTGGTTTTGTGCTTTAGATTTGAGGAGACCCACTGGAAGAGGAGCCCTCCATGGATGCTCCATGCCTTGAGGAAGAACTAAATTAGGATCTTCCCTATATTATTAATTATTATTATTATTATTATTTTGTTTGGGGGCCACACTGGCAATGCTCAGTTACTCAATTACTCCTGGCAGTGCTGGGGACCATATGAAGTGCCAGGGATCAAACCCAGACTGGCTACATGCGAGGCAAGCGCCTTACCCACTGTCCTGTAGCTCTAGACCCTGGATCCCCCCTATTTTAGAAGAAAGGAGCTATAGTTAGCAGTTGGGGGCGTCAGTAAATATGGCAGAGAGCATGGCCAGAGGCCACAGCAGCGGTGCTTCCCTAGATTTGGGGTTCGCTGGAGGGAGTGTGGAGGTGGGTGCAGAAAGGGGAGACAGGCCTTTTTGAGGTCCTGGGGCCACGGAGGGGGACCCGGTGAGTCTCAACACACAGATATACCAAGTGACACTCCTGAAGTCTGTAGATAGCCAACAAGTGTTAGATCAATGGAAAAAGCGTCTTTCCCTGTTTGCACTCCGTCGGAGGAAACTTGCATTGTGTCATTTCTCACACTCTGCAGGTTCAGCTGTGCTGTTTTTGTTTGTTTGTGGGTCACCCCCTGGCGGTACTTAGGGGCTGTTTCTAGCTCTGTGCTCAGGAGAAATTATGGTGTTGCTCAGGGGACCGTATGTGGTGCCAGAGACAAAACTGGGGTCTGCAGGTCTTAAGCCCTGTACAGTCTCTCTGGCCGGGATTCTAGTTCTTTCTAGAAGGTGATAGTTTTAATTATGATGCATGGGGGCAGAGGAGAGAGTTAGGGGTCAAGGGTGCAGGACTTTTGCTCACAAGACCCAGAGACCCATCCACAGCATGAAATGCCCCACATCCAGTACCACCCCATGTGGTCCAAGAGGCCCAGTGTGGAGTTCAACTGTGGGTGCTTTCAGTGGCCACAATCGCCTCCCCAGGCCCACTGACAGCAAGGAACGAACCTAAGGAATTGTGTCACAGGCTAATAATCAGTCACCATTCATGCAAGTCTCACAGCTTAGTTATAGATAAATGATGATGGGTGGGTGTGGTTGAACATTATCATAGCAATGGACAGATGTGAACCCCCTCCTTTAGTTCTAGGAGATTAACTCAGGGACAAAATCTCCTCTGGAAACTCAGCACTCTAGATTCCTGCTAGGAGATCCGCCCAAAGGAGGAATTCCATCCAAGGGCATATCACTTTCTCCTTTCCTTAGCTAGTAATCTATTGAGACAGTCATGTTAAGTGTACTTCTTAACAATATTTCTCGTCATTTTGTATGAGCACAGTAGGAGATATATTAAACTTAAAGATTGGCTCTTCCTGGGGACATCTCGATATATATCCCAGACCATAGTTCTCAGGCCAGGTTAGTCTTTCCTTACCCCAGCAAGGTCCTTATTCAGTTTCTTCTTTTTGGGTCATGACAGAGTTTGTTCATGACTGTGATCTTAATTTATTATCCTTCTTATGGCTCTAGGCCTGTCCCTTTTCAATGCCAGGGTAGCTTGAGGGTTGTCCTGGATCCATCCAGGTCCCTCGCCAAGAGACTCCTTTTGGGGGAGTTGGAAACTAAGGGCAACTGAGGCTGAAGTCAAGTAAATATGCTGGGTGCCCAGAAGTAAATATTACTCGGAATCAATTAACTCCCATATTACAAAAGCATGGCATCAACTGTCTTCCTGTGTCTCTACAGAAAGGACATTGCTCTAAAATAAACTATGCAAAGGACATAAAGGAAAAAAGAAAAGCAATATTTCACTTACATATACTAAATCCAGAGCCCTCAGAAGGACTTGACTTTACAAGGTACAGGGTCTGATTTGGGGATGTTAATGATTAACAGATAGGGGAAGCACAAAGGAGAGTTTAAAGATAAACACTGAGGATTGGAAATGCCTAACGGAATTGGGTGTGCCTCTATAGCACTGCGGTGGAAGTGACTCAATAAACCTAATTTCCCTGCAGGAAGAGCAAGGACAAACCAATATTGCTTCTTAAAATGCTTAGAACTGGGGGTTGGAGTGATAGTACAGTGGGTAGGGCGCTTGCCTTGTATGGGGCTGACCCTGGTTGATTTCCAGCATCCTATATGGTCCCCCAAGCACCCCCAGGAGTAATTCCTGAATGCATGAGCCAGGAGTAACCTCTGTGCATCGTCGGGTGTGATCCCCCCCCCCAAAAAAATGCTTAGGTTTGTAATCCAACAGCCCAGCAGCAGAGCACCCGAGCACCCGAGCACTGAACCTGCACTCCTGGCTGCCAAGTGCTCCTGAGAGTAGCCCAAGTACTTGGGAAGCCCCACCAATCCCCAAAATAGAGGCAAGTCCACTTCACAGGGTACTTCACGGAGGAGGCGGGCCAGAGCACCATCACCTCGCCTGCCTATGGGCTGGAGCACCCCCTCGCCCCCAAGCATCACAGACCAATACACATGGGGGCATTTAGCCTACTACATAGCAAGACAAACACACAGCAACTGTAATGAAAACCAGGTGGGGAGCTGGAGTGATAGCACAGCGGGGAGGGCGTTTGCCTTGCATGCGGCCGACCCGGGTTCGATCCCCAGCATCCCATATGGTCCCCTGAGCACCACCAGGAGTAATTCCTGAGTGCAGAGCCAGGAGTAATCCCTGTGCATCGCCGGGTATGACCCAAAAAGCAAAAAAAAAAAAAAAAAAAAAAAAACCAAAACCGGGTGGAATCATGAAGACAAACGGACCTATGGAACAGAGAAACTGGAAACCAACATGTGATGTCGGTGGGCCCCACGGCTGACTTATGTGAAGTGGGGAGGAGAAAGACGGTCATGTTTTCCTCACCCGCCTCTGCCACCCGGGGCCCAGGGTTACTGGGTCCTTGTCTCGCCTCACAGAAAGGAATTTCAGTAGACAAGCAGTGAAACAAATAGATTTTATTTGGAGGATTTTTAAGTTGTGGAGGGAGAGAGAGAGAGAGAGAGAGTAACGTACTCAAGAGAGAACACGGGCTTCTCCAAGGGAGGAGAGAGCCCCTACACACATCCTAGCATTAGACACGAAAGCATGAAAGTACATATCTCAAGAGGGGAGATGCGGGCGACACAGCCCACATGTGCTCGGCCGCGTGGGCAGAAGCAGCACAGGAGCTCAGGCAGCATTTGCGCGCCCTTCCTTTGTTCAAGGTGGCCTTTATAGGGTTTCTCCAACCTGCCCCCACGTGGGGCTTCTTCCTAGGTAAAAGTCCCGTTGCTAAGGAGGTTACCAGGGTGGTTGGGAGTGGTGATGGTCTTCTTTGGGCTGGATCACATTTTAATCAGTTTAAGGGAGAAGTCCAAGGGTTTTTGAAAAGAGGAACTTCATGGGGAGGAGGCCCATATCCTCAGGGTCTGCCAGATGGTCTTATCAGGTCTCTGTTTTCTGTATGCACAAGTTGGATCAGTCCTAGAATTATTCTTTCATGAAATTTTGTTAATCCAAGTTTCATTGCCAAGGGCCTTTCCCTATCTACCTGCCTACACCTTATCGATGTAAAAGCAATGAAGATTTGGCAAATGCAAAAGATTAATTCCTGCCTAAAGAGACAGGATAGGGGTTCAGGCACTTGCCCCTCCCCTCTGGGTTCCCCAGAAACTCCCCTCTGGGTTCCCCAGAAACTCCCCTCTGGGTTCCCCAGAACCCCACATTCCCCACCCCCCATGGCTGAGTTCCCTTTTCAGGGCTGGCCCCAGGCCCTCTGACCGGGTTCTGCCATCTCCAGCCCGTGGATAGAGCTGAGCCCTGTGATGGGGAAACCCGGGGCTGGGGGCCAGAGATGGGCTCCCCCTTAGCCACCAGGGTCTGAGAAGTTCTCCAGGATGTGGCTGGAATTCAAACTCTGACGCTTCACTTGGAAATCATCAGGGTCATGGGGTAGAACTGGTATTATGTTCACGGGGTTCTGACTCCCAGGCGCTCAGTGTGCAGTGAACGGAGCCCAGCTCCTCCCTTCCCTGGGGATGCAAGAGCGGGACATGTCAGCCGGCAACTCTCCTGTGGTCCAGTTCAAGGCCGAAATGCTTGATTTGGTCCCTTCAGATGTCAGAGTTGGGTAGGAAATAGAAAGTTGTGGCAAACCACAGGAAGGCCCCTGCTTCCTGAGGGCACAGTGGCGAACCAGCGGGCACGGAAAAAGGGTCACCGTGGAGGCTGGCTCTGCCCTCCCTGAAACCGCATTTCAGTATTTCCTGAGCAGGGCCCGGGGACTGTCTCAGAGCCTCTCAGTCAGCTTTGCCCTGGCACAGAGGCGTTCCGGGCCCTTAGCCAGAGATCGTCTGAGTAGAAAAATAGGTAAATTCCAAAACAGGCCTAGAGAAGCATAAGCCTGAGGGGACCTGGACTTTTGGAGGAAATGAGATGCCGTGAAAGGGAGTGAAGCACGGGGCCCAAGCCACAGCACAGCAGGGAGCGCGTTTGCCTTGCACGTGACCGACCCTGGTTCAATCTCCAGCATCCCGTATGGTCCCCTGAGCACCACCAGGAGCGATTCCTGAGTTCAGAGCCAGGAGTAACCCCTGATTATCTCTGGGGGTAGCTCCAAAACAAAAAGAGAAGGAGTGAAAAACAGAAAGACAGAAAAAACAGTAGAGTGGAATTTACAGAGAGGGGTGTGGAAGTAGGGCTGTATCGCCGAACTGAGCCCACCCAAGGGGTGGGCAGCGTAGCCAGTCACAGCTCTCCCACATTCGAGCCGGAAGCTCAGGTCTCTGAGCCTCGAGGTCCAGGGCTGCTGCCCTGGGGTCCTCAGTGCTGGGGCCTCCTCTCCCGCCAGCCCTTTGGTTGGGATGAGAGGGTGGTGTGGAGAGGGAGGAACAGTCCAGAAGTGGCATCCAACCTTGCACGTGCTCTTGGCCAGACTCTGTTCTAGCTGCTGAGAGAGTGGGAGATGCAGTTAGCAGCTATGGGTAAAAATGTGGGTGTTGGGGCCCAAGTGATAGAATAGCGGGGAGGGCATTTGCTATGCATGTGGCCAACCCAGATTCTACCCCCAGCATCCCATATAGTCCCCCGAGCACAGCCAGGAGTAATTCCTGAGTGCAGAGCCAGGAGTAACCCCTGAGCATCGCTGAGTGTAACCCAAAAAGCAAAAAAAAAAAAAAAAGTGGGTGTTGTGTCACTGGAAGCCAGGGAGGAGTTGGTGGGGGGGCAAACATTGGAGCCCGGAGCATGCCCATTTCTGCCTGGTCCCCCCAGCAGAGCTTCTAAGGAGGGACCCTGGCAAGACTCATAAGGTAGAGGTCCGAGCTGGGAAGGTCCTGACATGTGTCTCCGGGATGAGGGCCCCAGATGTGCTCTTAATCCAGAGGTGTCTCCTGTGCTCTGGGCTGGTCCCTGCAGGGAGTCAGTAGTCCGCGGTGAGCTGTTGGACACCCGATGGGACGGTCCCAGGACTCTGCTGTCCTCCTTTCCCGGCTTTGTCGTTCCTGCGATGTTGGTGGGGTGTGAGGAGGGGGTTTGCACTTGATTTTCTTGGAGGAAGTAGCTAAGGGGGCCCAGGGGCCTCTCAAGCAATACTTAGCAACCACTGTGTGGTACCATGCCACAGGCCACCCCTAGTGCTGGGGGCGGGGGGTATGGTACTACGACCATCCAGCTGTGTCCCTGCTGCCTGCATGGCCTGTATGTTTGCTCTGTTTTTTTCTCTGAATGGGGCTGTGTGGAACCAGGGAAGGAACTCAGTGCCTTGTACATGACCACCGAGCTCCCTTCCCGACACGCCACCACTATGACCTCCCCCAGTTTGTTGTAACACTGGGGACAGCCTCATACCTGCAAAGAAGGGTCGCTGACACAAGATCAGACTTGTAGGGCTGGAGTGATAGCACAGCAGGTAAGACATTTGCCTTGCACGCGGCCGACCCGGGTTCAATTCCCAGCCTCCCATACGGCCCCCTAAGCACTGCCAGGAGTAATTCCTGAGTGCAGAGCCAGGAGTGACCCCTGTGCATCGCTAGGTGTGACCCAAAAAGTAAAAAAAAAATATCAGCCTTGTGCTCTCTCTGCTGTTCTTTACTTTATTTTGGGGGGCCTTTTGGGGCCACACCCAGTGGTGTCAGGGATCATTCCTGGTAGTGCTCTGGGAGCTATATGTGATGCTGGGGATTGAACCGGGGTCAGTGCATGTGAGGCAAACTCCCTATATCACCCCCAACACTGCCCCCTGCTCTTTCAATAGACATTTTCAAGTTGCTCTCAAAAATATTTTAACTTTATGTTCATTAAAACATAATCTTGGATTTTGGGGCCACACCCAGTGATGTTCATGGTTCTGCACTCAGGAATCACTTCTGGTTCTGATGCCGGGTATCGAACCTGGGTTGGCCGCATGCTAGGCAAATGCCCTCCCAGCTGTCCTACCTCTCCAGCCCCTCAGATCACTTTTAATTCCTTTCTAGTTGGATAGATGGGCCAGAAAGATGTGCAAAAACATGTCTCTGAGATTACAAATCCTTTCCAAGGCGTGGATTGTAATTCTTTGGAGATGACATACGTTTTGGAGTCTCGGTTCTTTCGAGAGGGTCTTACCTCTACACCCCATGGCTCCCATGTTCCCAGAAATTGGCCAAACTGCTGCTCTGTGGCACCGAGCTGGTCACCAACATCCAGGTGGTGACGGACATCAAGGAGATCCACCGGAGAGCTGAAGAAGAGGAGACGAAGCGCCAGAGGTGAGGGGCCGCCTGCTTGGAGGCCTCGGTGGATGGTCAGGTGTCCACTCCTCCCTGGCCTCTGGAGGCAGTCTGTGAAATGGGGTCTCGTAGAACCCCCACCGTGGGCTCTTTGGGCTCCCTTACCGCACCTTGAACCCCTCCTTGCTTTCCTGCTCTCTCCAAGCACAACCTGCCCCTCCCCCAAGCCCCCGCCCCAGAGGTCTTGGTGAAGGGACATTTGAGTTGGGCTGCAAGGGATGAAGAGGAGTTTGGGGAGTTGAGGAGTGGACGGTTGAGGCAGAGAGAACACAACGAGGCTGAAAACCGTGTAAGAGGCTGGGGCAGGACAGCGAGGGCTGTGCCAGCCGGGCTGGAGGAGCCGGCAGTGGGGGAGAAGAGACGAGGCCGTCCAGGGAGCTTGTCCTGGGCGGAAACGAACGAGAATGACCAGAGGCCTGGACATCGCCGCCCTTCTCCTCCTTCCTTTCCTTGGGGGTGGTGCTGGGAACACAGGCCTCGCCATCCACGTGAGGATGAGACTGAAGGCTCCTTGCCTCGAAGGATAGAGGGCGGGGGATGAGGGGACCCGGTGCCCGTGTGCTCCCCTGGGTGTCCCCAGCCAGGTGCCATCTTTGTCCTGGCAGGCTCGAGAGGCTGGAGAATGAGATGAAGACGAGTCAGGACAAGTTCGACGAGATCACCACGAACTGGGAGAGTGGCAAGAAGAAGCGGATTCCACAGGACCTGTGGGCGGTGCTGAACGACCAGCAGGTGAACTGTGCCAGCCTCATCGAGGAGAAGAACAAGCTCATCCTCGAGCTGCACCAGGCAAGGGGCGCTGGGGGGAAGGGCGGGGATGGGGGGCCCCAGGGCTGGACACCAGCTCCCTCGGCCTCCGCTGGGCTGGAGACTCGCAGAGGCCGCATTCGTCCTCCCAGTGCTGTGCTGCTCTGGCCCTCAGGGCTGAGCCAGGATCTTGAAAACGCTCTGTAGTCCTGGGGGAACTGAGCTCCCTGAAGGTGGAGGGAACATCGCGTACAGGAGTCTCGGGTTTGAGGGTCCTAGGGAAGGAGGCGTGCTTCTGTGTGCCCTTAGAAACAACCCCAGGCTGGGCCCAGCTGTGGTGCTCCCCCTAGGTGCTCTGGCATTGTGCGGGCTTGCTGGGAGTCTTGTCCCTACCTACTGCCCCTCCGCCATGCTCGTCCACCCTGGTCTTCTCAGCCACCAGGCCCACCTGGGCACCGAGGTGACTTTCACAGCTGCTGGTGTGCGAGTCTGGGGGTGCTCGGACCCCCTGGCTCATGTCTCTGATGTGGACTGATCTTGTTTTCATTGATACTCACTGGCTTACACCACCACAGGACAGGAGGGGACGGATTCACACTGGGTGTCACACTCACCCACCGGCCGCCAAAGTGTGCTGGTCTCTGTCCTCACACTGTCCCCCTCCCCATTTTCCCTACCTCCACTTTTGCTCCTGAGGTCACCATAGTTGTCACCTAGTCTTGCATGAGTGTTGTCGGGTATTGTGTATTTGTTCTATTTTGCCCCAAAGAGCAAAATTTTATCTTGTTGTTTTTTGTTTGGGGGCTACTTTGATATCATTGGTGTTGAGGATTTACTCCTGGCTTTATGCTCAGGATCACTCCTGGGGGGGGGGGTTGTTGGGGGCAGGACACATGCGGTGCCATGGATGGAACTGGGGTCAGTTCTATGTGAGGCACAGTCCTCTCCCATCATTCTGTCTCTCTGGCCTCAGTTCTCACCTTTATAACAGCAAAGTAGTATTCCATTGTGTGCATATGACATGGCTGATGGGCAGTTAGGTGGATTCCGTGTTTTTGGATTTTGCTTTCAATGCTGCTGTGAATCCAGGGGCATAAATATCCTTTCATAGACTTTGGCTAAAAGCCAGGATGTGGCATTGTTTTGTTCCATGGAATATCCACGTTTTGCTTCAGAAGAAATCCCCACAGCCGTCTGCCTGGCAACTGGCCCTGCAGTCTGGCCAGTGACACCAGGCATGTGCCCCCATGCCCTCACCTGCATCTGGAGTCTCCAGCCTCTCCCTCCCTGTTCTAGGAGTTGAAAATGAAGGATGACCAGTACGTGAAGGACCTGAAGAAGCAGTCAGATGACATTTGCCTGCTGCTGGAGAGGATGGAAGAGCAGGTGAAGTCTGTCACGAAGAGCTTCCGCCAGGAGCTTCTCAACATCGAGGTGAGTGGGTGCCTGGGGCCCCGGGTCCTGACGGAGGCACTCACGGACCTGGGATTTCTGTCTCTAGGGGGTCAGTCACATAGGCGCATCCTCATCTTGTCACCTCTGTCCCACTGTCTCAGGCACTGGGGGATAGTTAGGAACAAACAAGGTTCTCCAAGGATCCTGAGACCTGCTCGGAGGCAGCTGGACACACCCCAGAAGAATCCCTCAGGGTAGGGTTCGGAAGGTGGAGAGAAGGGGGGGAGGATTTGTTTTGTTTTGTTTTGTTTATGTAGGAGTACTGCTATTTATTCAGCCACTGATCGACTGATTGAATTTGGCATGAACTCCATCTTACTTTTTTTCCCCGTTTTTTATCATTGTATTTATTGAATCACTGTGAGAGCAGTTACAAAGCTTTCGGGTTTAAGTCTCGGTCATACAATGAAACACCCATACCTTCACCAGTGCCCACTCTCCACTCTCAAAAACCCCAGTATACCCCCATCCCACACCCTCCCCCTACCTGTGAGGCAGACGATTTCCACATTACTCTCTCTCTACTTTGATTACATTCAATATTTTGACACCAGATTCACCATTATTATTTGGGATTTTACCCCAACACTCAAATCTGCTGAAAAGGCAACAGTAGACAATTTGTTTTCTATTGCTGGTTATGAATAGCATATGATGTCGTGTGGCTGCAGTAGTGGCTGCGCGATTTTGAAATTCCAAAATTTTAACAATTAAATCTGGAGGGATTTCTACCAAAATTTGCTGGGTTCTGAGATCTGTTCCTGAGTCTCTTGGATCATGGCCGTTAAGCAGCTTGATCAGGAACCAGAAAGGCTCGTTCATGAGTGGCAACTCGAGGTCTCATTGGGATGGGGAGGAAAGGGCCAGCTCCACTCCCATCCCGTGAGGCCCTGCGTGTTGCATGACTGAGGGCCCAAATCTGACTGTCCAATGGCCTCAGGAAGATGGCGGCCACTGAGCCACCTGGAGGAGCAGGCAGAGGGACAGCACCTTTTCCCCCCTGAAATGGCCTAGCGACAGTAACTTACTGCAGGGTCCAGATGCATTTCTGCCAAAAGTCACTGGATTTTGAGATTTGTTTCTGAGTCTCTTGGATCATGGCCGTTAAGCAGCTTGATCAGGAGCCAGAGAAGCCATTCATGGACGACGGTTTGAGGTCTTGTTGGGACAGGGAGGGCCGGCTCCACCCCCATCCTGTGAGGCCCCACATGTCTCATCACTGCAGGCCAAAACCTGACTGTCCAGTGGCCTCTGGAGGATGGCGGCCATTAGGCTGCCAGGGGGAACAGGCCAAGGCACAAGACCTATTCCCACCTGGGGTGGCCCAGCACTGGTAACCTACTGCAGGGACTGGACGCATTTCTGCCAAAAGCCGCTGGGTTCCATGATTTGTTTCTGAGTCTCTGGGATCATGGCCATTAAGTGGCTTGATCAGGAGCCAGAGAGGCCGTTTGTTGGTGGTGACTCGGGGTCTCCTTGGGGTGGGGAGGAAAGGGCTGGTTCCACCCCCATCCCGTGAGGCCCTGCTTGTCTCATCACTGAGGGTCCAAATCTGACTGTCCGATGGCCTCTGGAGGATGGCAGCCACCGAGTCGCCAAGGGGGCGCAGGCAGAGGGATCGCACCCTTTCCCCCTGGGGTGGCCTGGTGACAGTAACCTACTGTGCAGTCCAGACGCATTTCTACCAAAAGCCGCTGGATTTCAAGATTTGTTTCAGAGTCTCTGGGATCATGGCCATTAAGCAGTTTGATCAGGAGCCAGAGAGGCCATCCGTGGGTGGTGACTCGGGGTCTTGTTGGGACGGGGAGGAAAGGGCCGGCTTCACCCCTATTCCCTGAGGCCCCACATGTCTCATCACTGTGGGCCCAAACCTGACTGTCCAGTGGCCTCTGGAGGATGGCAGCCACCAGGCCGCCAGGGATAACAGGCCAAGGCACGAAACCTATTCCCACCTGGGGTGGCCCAGTGCCTGTAACCTACTACAGGGACTGGACGCATATCTGCCAAAAGCCGTTGGGTTTCGAGATTCGTTTCAGAGTCTCTGGGATCATGGCCATTAAGCAGTTCGATCAGGAACCAGAGAGGCCATGCCTCCAATTATATGGCTGAGCTGGAGGTGGTTTGTTTGTGGGTGTGTCTCCCACATACCTAACTTTTGGCCTTTTACTTTCTTGGTAAACTTTGCCCCAAGTTTTTGGGGTCTGGCCAAAGGCCACAGCAGCAATTTTAGGGTATCTGGAAGTCTGAAGGCACCATCAGGCTGCTGATGCACTCGCCTCCCAGGTACAGATTGACCTGCTGGCGGCACCATACCCCCAGAGAAGCATTTTGGAGGAAGCTAAGAGTCTGGGTCAAGGAGTGGAGGAAGGCTGGAGGCCCAGCACCATAGACATGCATGCCAGTTATTGGACTTACCGATGGCCGTCAGGGCTGGTGGGAGGAGTCAGATTCGTTTCTGGAAATACTAATTAGCATCTGAATCTTGGTCAGGACTGAGATGGAGGGCCTCCCAGAAAAGGAAGTGGGGATCTGGGGGGGCCTTCGGGAATGGAGGCGGGTGAGAAGGTGCTCGCTCTGGGTGGTTGGAGCCTGGCCTTAGCATTCCTGACCTGCTGCTTTTGTATCCTGGGACCCTGGCCACAGCCATGCCTTGGTCTGATCCTCACTGGATTCCCCCAGGCTGGAGCCTCCAGCCCCAGGTTATGCACTAAGCCTCAGGTTGGCTGGCGTTGGCTGGCACCGTCTTCTCTGGAGGACATGAGTACCCACTGCTGCTCCTTCCCTGGCCATTTGGTGGTGGGGAACTCCTCGACCAGTCCACCTCTAGTGTGGACAGGCCACATGTTGGTGACTGGCACCTGTGTGTTACCCGAGAGGTCTGTGATCCTGGGCTTGGGGGAGGGGGGTGGTCTGCCCACACCTACAGGAGAGTCTTTTCCTTCCTGGAGGCAGAAAGCGTTTGAAATGGAACGACAGGAGCTCCTGGCCAGTAATAAGAAGAAATGGGAGCGGGCTCTGCAAAATCACAATGCCAAGGAGGTAAAGGACGGTCGGGGGCGGGGAGGTGAGGGCTGTGCCATGGGCCAGCTGGGCTGGTTTGCATCTGGGAGCACTCCACAGCACTCAGGAGTTACTCCTGGCGGTGCTCAGGGGACCATATGGGATGCTGGGAATCAAACCCGGGTCGGCCGCGTGCAAGGCAAACGCCCTACCCGCTGTGCTATCGCTCCAGCCCCTCTATCAGTTTTAGAAATGCCAGCGATTGACTGCAGGCTGTTGGCTTCCTCCGGGAGCACTCATTCTCTTGGAGTCCCTGGAGTGGGCCCCCCAACCCCCACCCCGAGGCAGCACCGGCCTGGACCTGGGAGGTCCATGTTGAGGCCCAGTCACGAGCCCTCAGATGCTCCTCTGTCGCCTCAGCAGCCTCCTGAGGGGCAGAGGGGCGGGGTGGGGCCTCACTCCCGGCCGTCTTCCTGTGCCCGCAGCTGGAGTATCTCATGAACCGCATCCAGAAAGTGGAGGAGCACGAGCGCCTGCTCAACAAGCAGCGGGTCTGGGACTGGGAGGAGTACAACACCATCAAGATCAAGCTGGAGCAGGACGTGCAGGTGCCGCTCGGGCCCGGGTGGGCACCTGGGCAGGCGCAGCTGGGACACTGGCGTGGAGCTGGTCACCCCCTTTTCAGAAAAGATTCTCCCCCTGGAAATTGCCCTTCTTTAAGGGAGCAAAGTCCCAAGGCGACTACTACCCCCGGCTCAAGTCAGGTGCTCCCCTTGGGGTCGGTTTCACCCACTTTGGGGATTACTGCTCAAGAGTTGGTCCTGTCACCAGCACTTGACAAATATCTGCTCTCTTGTTTTTCTCCTTTCTCTTTCTTTCTTCCTTTCTCTCTCTCTTTCTTTCTTTCCTTTCTTTCTCTCTTGTCTTTCTTTCTTTCTCTCTTCTTTCTTTCTTTCTTTCTTTCTTTCTTTCTTTCTTTCTTTCTTTCTTTCTCTTCCTTCTTTCTTCCCTCCCTCCCTCTTGCCTTGCCTCCCTTCCTTCCTTCCTCTCTTCCTCCCTTCTTCCCTCCCTCCCTCCTTTCCTCCTTTCTTCCCTCCCTTCTTCCCTCCCTTCCTCCCTCCCTCCCTTCCTCCTTTATTCCCTCCCTCCTTCCCTCCCTTTCTCCCTTCCTCCCTCCCTCTCTCCTTCCTCCCTCCCTTTTTGGTTTCAGTGTCACACCTGGCTATACTCAGGAGCTACTCCCAGCTCTGTGCTCCCAATGGTGCTCAGAGGACCATATGTGGCGTCAGAATGAAACTTGGGGCTCCTTCCTGTGAAGCAGGTGTCCAGCCCCTGACCTGTCTCACTGACCCCTCTCTGTTCTCTTTGGAACAGTCACATCTAAAGGCCCCACTTTCCAAGATCCTCGTGGAGGGATGTTTTCTTAAGCAAACCAGAAATAAAGTTCCTAAAGGGTCTGGGCACTGTCAAGTGCCAGAAGACCCAAGAGAGGGTGTTTGTTAGGGAAATGCTCCCAGGTTCTGTTTTCCATGTCTGAGGGTCAAAGCAAGGACCCTGGCCATCGGCTGAGTGCCGGCTGAGTGCCAACATAGCCCAGATACTTCCTTATGCTAGCACCATTGCTTGGTAGCCTGGGACACTGAGAAATGAGACCACCTAACTCATAAGGGGTCAACCCTGACCTCAGACCCAGTTGAATGGTTGAGAACCTGTCTCCAACGTCTTCTCAGGCTGGTGGCTGTATGTGGCAGAGGTCAGGTTCTAGGACCCAAGAGGAGCTTCCTGTGTGGAAACGGGGCCTTCCCTTTAGCTCCCTGTGCCTGTGAAGGCCTGTAGCTGGCTTGTCGAACAGGGAGGCCTGCGGCAGGAAGGTCTCATTGCCAGTTTCTGAAGTTTTTCCTAACCCTATCTGTATTTTCACACTAGTTCTTTTTTAAGCACCTCTAATTATGTTTAGATGTACTGCAGTTGTACTGTGTGTGTGTATGTGTGTGTGTGTGTGTGTGTGTGTGTGTGTGTGTGTGTGCGCGCGTGCATATGCGTGTGCCTATGTGCAGGAAATTGACCCCAGAGCCTCACACACGCCAGACCCTGAAATGCAGTTCTCACCTGTGAACTCTGTCCCTCTGTCCCTGCAACTGCATACGTAGGGCTCAGGCTATAATGGGGAGGATATTTGCCTTGCACACAGCTAATCGGGTTTAATCCCTGGCACCCCATATGATCCCTTACACACTGCCAGAAGTGACTCCAGAGTGGAGCCAGGACTAACCCCTGAGCATTGTTGGCTGTGAGCGGGGGAAAAAAAAAAACGGGGAAAAAAAAAAAGGACTCAGGCATAGCCTCTTCGGCATCCAGAAAGTAGCAAGCTGACTTTGCAAACCTTCATCTACAGCCTTGTACAACTTCTAGTACAAGGATTTTGCTTCTTACTCTGGTGGTATTTTCCGGGACCTTTTTCATGTTAATGCCATGGAAATAAGCGTTGCTAAAAGAACAGTAGAGCTCTTTGGGAGAGGCGTCACCACGTGGGCTGTATACATTGAGCCTTTCATGAAAACGCCTATTGTGAAACCAGGTTCAGGAGGGTTTATATACCAGAGCTGCACACTTGACCTCAAGCAGCCTTGGAACGGAATGGAGCCCTTTGGTGTGGGTTTGCTTTGCCCTCGGTGCTCAGAGGGCCTTCTATAAGATCGATCCTCTTCACTATATATATATATATATATACATATATATATTTTATTTTTATTTATTTATTTTTTTTTGTGGGGACGAGGGGCCACACCTGGTAATACCTGGGAATCAAACCCAGGCCTGCCTTGCAAAGCATGTACTGCAGCCCTTGGACGCCTCTCCCTGTTCCACTTCAGATTTTTTAAGTATACAATGCAGAATTGTTATCCTGGGTCCTGTGTTGATCTGGGGGTTCCAGAATTTATTCATCCTGCATAATGGGAACTTTGTGTCCTTTGACCTCCACCCAGCTGCTCCCCCATCCTCCTCACAACCCCCACCCCCCTGGGTCCTGGCAGCTCCCGAATAAATTCGATTGTCTGCTGTTCCCAGTTTGACTGTCTTAGGTTCCGAGATTCCACGAGGTTTGTATTCGCTTTCTGTGCCTGAGGCGTTTACTGCCTCCTCTGTTGCTTGATATTGTTTCCAAAGCCTTTCCTGGTCTTCCTGGCTGGGCTAATAAGCCGCTGCCCGGGCACTTCATGTTCTCCTTCATGCATCGACCGCCTTTGTTTCTCTCCCGTGGCTTCTGTATTCTGTGGGCGAGAGAGGGTGGGGGCCGGGGTCTCGCTTCTGGCCTGGGTTTATTCTCTGAACCAGGCTGGGACGGGGGCTGGTCCCCGTTCACTCTCTCTGAAGCCCTGTTTTGGGGAACTGCTGTGTTGTCTCATGGCAGCTGCCCCAGGTTCCCTTCCCCTGATGGTGTGTCTCGGTCTCCCCCCCACCCCCCACAGACACACACCAACACTGGCCTTTGCCTTTCCATCAACGCCATCTTGCTTCCTTGGCAGTTAGGGTATTGAGTCCCTTTCCTGTCCTCTTAGTCATCTGTCGGTCTTCGGAGGATTGTCTTTTTGGGTCCTTTGCCCGTTGTGTGGAGGGGTCATGCCCTGTGGTGCTTGGGGAATTACTCCTGGTGCTGTGCTCAGGGGATCACTCCTGCCAGCAATCAGAAAACCATTTGTGTTGCCGGGAATCAAATCAGGGTCTGTCACGTGCAAGGCAAGCGCCTTAACTCCTGTCCTATCTCCCTAATCTTAAAAAAATATGTGTAATTTTCGGGGCTGGAGCGATAGCACAGCGGGTAGGGCATTTGCCTTGCACGCAGCCAACATGGCCGACCCAGGTTCAATTCCCAGCATCCCATATGATCCCCCGAGCACCGCCAGAAGTAATTCCTGAGTGCATGAGCCAGGAGTAACCCCTGAGCATCGCCTGGTGTGACCCAAAAAGAAAAAAAAAGTGTAATTTTCTTTAAAAAAAGTAGGGGCTGGAGAGATAGCATAATGGGTAGAGCATTTGCCTTGCATGCGGCCAACCCGGGTTCGATTCCCCGCATCCCATATGGTTCCCTGAGCACCACCAGGAGTGACTCCTGAGTGCAGAGCCAGGAGTAACCCCTGTGCATCACTGGGTTGACATATATATATATATATATATATATATATATATATATAGCGCTGTCTTCAGAGCCTGACAATCAAGGAAGGCCAGAGACAAGTCGAAAACTTGAGCCAATGAACAGTCTGTAACCTATGACGGTGACTATGTGACGGGAAATAGCGTGGGGTGTCACTCCTGAGGGTCTCAGTGAACCGTGAGCGATCCAGGCCCCAAGCCCCAGGGGTTCCTTCGCTGAGCTACCCTATCGTTCATGGGGGCACATTGAGGTCCAGGGCAGAGTGGCCTGACAGTGGCGGGGAGCCCGAGGCGGGCTCTGCTTCGCCAGCACCCGCCGAGCCAGGAGTGAGGGCGAGCGGCCCCGTCTGCCAGTGCCAGCACAAGCAGACAAGAATGCACATCACAGCAGTCTGGTGACCCGCTTTTTGTTTTAATTTTTTTTTTGTTTCCCCTCTGTGAAATCAGCACAGATTTATGTCTTTGTAGGTCTCAAAGACAAAAAAGACGTGACCTAATTAACTCTCATTCGGAGTGCTGGAAACTCCATGCAGAGTTTTGCCAACTTTGCAGAACAGAGATTTTAGTCTATGCTCGTGTTCAGCTGCGTGGGGCGTAGCAGCGGCTTCTCAGAGCAGACAGGAGCGGGGCTGGTGCTGCCTTGCTCCCTTCCCAGGTGCCAGCGGAGACAGGGCCCGCACAGACCCCATAAGCGCGAGTGTCAGCCAGGCTGCTCCACGGAGCTCAGATCTGGCCCCATGAGCGAGGGAAATACTGGTGCAGCACCAGTGGCTTATCCCCAAGCGCCGAGAGCCCGGAGGTATCCCGAGTTCATCAGAGCAGGCCGGCCCCTGGGCCCTCAGCGTTCCTGGATGCTGCCATGCCTGTAAGACTGGGACAGCGCTTCATCCCAGATCGGCAGCTGCGTAGGACGGTCAGTGCATGCCTAGTCGCCACCATCCAGCCGTTCAGCACTGTGCCCTGGGCTGCCCGTCTGATGGCGTCTGACTTCATTCAGGGGAGGGGGGCTTGGGGCCCGAGCGATAGTATAGTGGGTAGGGCATTTTCCTTGTACGTGGCTGACCTGGGTTCAATCCCTGGCATCCCATATAGTCCCCCAAGCACCGCCAGGGGTAATTCCAGAGTGCAGAGCCAGGAGTAACCCCTGAGCATCGCTGGGTGAGACCTCCCCCCAAAAAAGAAAAAAAAAAGCAGGGGACAGGGGCTTTAGATCACTGTGGTCTGGCAGAACCGCTCAGGATCCCCTTCCTCAGTAGACACTTGGCCAGACAGAGAAGGGGACAGGGTTAAGTGGGTCCCCTGTCCCCCTTCTTCCCCCACAGTTGAATTTGAAGCCACACAGTCAGTGCTCTCCACAGACTGCTTAAGTCAGGGATGTAGACCCGGAGTGGGCTGCACGCTCCGAGGGTCAGCGCTTAACCCTGTCCTTCCCCTCGGGGCTGGCGGGGAGCTAGTGTCCATCTTCAGATGCTCTTTGGAGAGCAAGTAACTGGGATGCTGGCCTAGTGTTTCCCTTCTCCAGCACTACAGGATTCGGGAAACCAACAAGACTGGCACTATTTCATACAGAATTGTGGCCAGTTTTTGTAGTTGTTGTTGTTGGTGGTGGTGGAGAAGGTGTTTGCCAACCCCCCCCCCCCACCCCCCGGCAGTGCACAGGACTTGCTCCTGGCTCTGTGCTCGGATCACTCCCAGAAGGGACGCAGGGGACCCTCCACTGTGCTGGAGAATCAAACCCAGGGGCACTGTATGCAAAGCAAGTGCCTTATCTCCTGTCCTGTCTCTCCAGCCCTTCAGCATTATAACATTGAAAATCATCATTAAAGGGCTGGAGAGATAGCACAGTGGGTAGGGCGTTTGCCTTGCACGTGGCCGACCCGGGTTCGATTCCCAGCATCCCATATGGTGGTCCCCTGAGCACCTCCAGGAGTAACTCCTGAGTGCAGAGCCAGGAGTAACCCCTGTGCGTTGCTGGGTGTGACCCAAAAAGCAAAAAAAAAAAAAAAAAAAAAAAGAAAGAAAGAAAGAAAGAAAATCATCATGAAGGCAGTACTGGTGTACAATGATGGAGAAGCCATGACAGGACATGTTCCACAGCTCCAGTTCTTAGATATCCCTATTCCTTATCCCCTTGGAAATTTGTGTCCCATTAAAACACACTACTAAAACTTGGCTGATGGGGGCAAGTTCTCAGCTCGAGAGGGGGAGGGAGAGAAGTGGGGTGTCCGCTTGACGCTGTGCACAGTTCTCCGACGAAGGGGCCTTGCAGGAAGCAAGCCTGGAGGTGGGCAGAGGTGGACAGGGAGACATTCCCCCCTTCCAACACTGTCCTCTCTCTCTGGACACTCTGCACTTCTCCCAACGAGCAGGCGTTGCTTCCACAGCCCAGAGAAGCCTGTGAGAAGGAAGTGGGTAGGGCATTTTCCTTGTATGTGGCTGACCTGAGTTCAATCCCTGGCATCCCATATAGTCCCCCAAGCACCGCCAGGGGTAATTCCAGAGTGCAGAGCCAGGAGTAACCCCTGAGCATCGTTGGGTGAGACCTCCCGCAAAGTGGGTAGGTCTAGAACTAGAACTAGGACTAGAAAAAAGCAAAGCGGGCTTGGGCCCAAGTGGAGAGACGGGTGAACTGCCTCGTCATTGTCCCAGCGACCTTTGGGGAAAGGACAGACCTTGGACCCCAGAGGCAGCGCCTCGGTCCGGGGCCAGGGCTTGGGGTGAGACACCTCTGGGTGACAGTAATTCCCTGTCACTGCGCGGGTCACCGTTTAATACCACTTGGGCTTGAAAGGGACTCGTACCCTGGATGTGTCTGCTCATTCCTGGCTTTGAGGGGGGCTCAAGGGACCCGCCCCATCAGCTGCCCTGGCAAGGGCCTATGGCCTCCTGGAGGAGCCTGGATGCAGGCGGGAGGGGAAAATTGCTGGTCAGCGCTGAAGCAAGACGGGATTACCCTCTGCTGCCCCCTGCTGGCCTTGTTTCCTGGCCTCTAAGGCGGGAGCCAGCTGGGGGTTTGTCTCCTCTTCAGCCTGGCCCTCTCTTTGCTCTTCTGTCTGTGTTCTGTTATTTGGGGGCCACATCTGATTGTATTCAGGGCTCACTCCTGGCTCTTTGCTTGGGGCTCACTCCGGAGTCTGTGCTCAGGGATCACTGCTGGTGGGGCTCAGGGGACCCTGCCCAGTGCTGCGGATGGAACCCGGGTTCGCTGTGTGCTGGGCTAGCATCCTCCCTGCTGTACCGTCTGTGCTCCTTCTTCTGTCCTTGTTAATGAGGGGTTTCCAGCCGCTCACCTTGGCACCTTCCACCCCTTTCCCCCTTCGCCTCCAGGATTAAACCCTCAGTGGGGGCGTCCTGCTGCCACATTCTAGACCCTCCCCACTGGCTCCGGAAGTACCGTGGGCCCCCTCCAGCTGCTCTCAGCCACTTCTCCCTCCGCCTGCATCAGCCGGTGTGGACGCCCCAGGCTGGCGCTCCTGCTTTCTTCAGCCCTGTGCCCCAGAGCCCTCCACCCAACCCTGCTTTTCCTATCCCCTCGGGGTTCACTGGCCCATCCTGGACAGGGCAGGACTGAGCCCCTCCCCCCGCTTTTTGGTCACATGTTTCCAGAAGCATCTAGAAAAGTGTCCCTCCAGCTTAGGACTCCATGAACACTCTCTGAACCGAACCCTGGCCCGCGGACCCAAGAGCCAAGTGGGTTTTCTGTCCTCTTCTTTTGTCTGGGGCCACACCTGACAGAGTTCAGGCTTTCTCCTGACTCTGCACACAGGGGTCACTCCTCGCAGTGGGGAGCAAAACTCAGTTTGCCGGGTGCAGGGCAAGCGCCCTCCCTGTTCTCTCCCCAGCCCCCTTCGCTCCTCTTTTAAATTGGACACAGCCTGAGGCTGGAGTGATAGCACAGCAGGTAGGGCATTTGCCTTGCATGCGGCCAACCCGGGTTTGATTCCCAGCATCCCATATGGTCCCCTGAGCACTGCCAGGAGTAATTCCTGAGTGCAGAGCCAGGAGTAACCCCTGTGCATCGCTGGGTGTGACCCAAAAAGAAAAAAATTAAAAAATAAAAAATAAATTGGACACAGCTGGCACTGCCTTGCACGTCGCCAACCTGGGTTAGATCCCCAGCACCCCATATGGTCCCCAGGACACTTCTAGGAGTGATTCCTGAGTGCGGAGCCAGGAGTAAGTCCTGAGCATGACTGGGTGTGGCCCCCAAACCAAAAAAAGTTTTTTTTGATGAATTAAATAAAATGAACACAATGTGGTCTGAGAGACAGTCTAGCAAGCAGGGCACTGGCCTCACTTGTGCCAGACCCGGGTCAAACCCTGACTCCCTATGGTCCCCGAGCCCCTCTGAGAGTGACCCCTGAGCACCACTGGGTGTGGCACAGAAACTCAGAAGTAATGGGTAAGATCAAGTGAACACAGTTTGCTAAACTCCTTCACAGTCAAGTGGAAGGCTGCCGGGGGGTTGCCACGCAGGTTTCCTGCCCTGTGTGGTGGCCGCGCCAGGCTCCCAGAGGGAGCGGCACAGCCAGGAGGCCCAGCACTGTCCCAGGCTGAGGGGCCAGGCCAGTGCGGCAGCTGGGTGGTTGGTTGGTTTTTGCGCATCTGCACTTCAGCTCATAGCTAACGATGGAATTTCTCAGCACAGAGGCGGGGGCCGCACTGGGCCCTCTGGTTCTTCCCACTCCGGGGCCCTCGGGCACAGGGCGGTCATCCCGGGGCCAACTCACTCTGTGCCTCGAAACTTCAGGTCCTTGAGCAGCAGCTGCAGCTGATGAAAGCCACTTACCAGCTAAACCAAGAGAAGCTCGAGTACAACTTCCAGGTGCTCAAGAAGAGAGACGAAGAGAGCACGGTGATTAAGTCCCAGCAGAAGCGGAAGCTCAATCGGTAAAGCACGCATGGGGATTCCCTTGCTCTGGAACCTTCTTTTATTCCCACCACCATCAGAGGAAAGTGTGTGAAGATTGTTGTATTTCATCCTGGAGCCATTAAACCCTTGTATAGGAGATTTACAAGCGTGGATGTTAAACCCAAACAAATGTGCTACTCTTGGTACGTCAGTGGGTAGGGTATAAGAGGTCACTCCAGGAATTCTGAAATTTAGAATATGATTATAGATTCACTGTATCACTGTCATCCTGTTGTTCATCGATTTCCTCAAGCAGGCACCAGTAACGTCTTCTTCATCCTAGCCCTGAGATTTTAGAAGGTGCCACATTTGAGGCTCTTTCAGGGTCAGGAGAATGAGACCCATCATTGCTACTGGTTTTTGGCATATTGAATACACTATGGGGAGTTTTGCAGACTCTGCCGTGTGGGCAGGATACTTTTGGTAGCCTGCCAGGTTCTCCAGAGTAAGAACTAGATAATAAGATGTCGCATGGTCACGAATGCGGCCGCGCACTTCCAGGAGCTGGGTTTTATAGTCTCTGGGTCTTGGCCGTTAATGGGATTACATGGCACTGGGGGAAGTTGGTGGGTGTAACGCCTACATACTGGAAGATGGGGGATCTGGGTGGAGGAGGCCCAGTCCCAATCTGAACAGGCTGCAGTATACTTACACAAATTTAGAACACAAACAAAAGGCCCAGGCTTTACAATCAGTTAAGCTACAACACTCACTTTTTCATAAGCTCTGAAATTCTTTGGCATTCTTCCTTATCATAAAACCAAATTCTGTAAATGGACAATCTGGCATTTCTGTAGATTATAGATTATCGAGCAGATTCACTCATGGGTGAGGCCTAGGTTGCTCTCTTCCTGGAATTTTATTTAGTAGTCTCTGGCTCTTGGCAGCTGATGAGATCATATGGCTCCAGGGGCAGTTTGTGGGTGTGACTGCCAAGCTACTGGGAAACTAGGGCGCTGGGGGAGGGGGAAGAGACACAGTCCTGCTCTGAGCGAGCTTGGAGATCTCAGGCACGGGTCTCCCATTTCTGGGTTTTTCTGCAGGTTCTGTCGTGGGTGAGGCTCATCCTAGTCTGTGGAAAGCGGCCCTTGAGCATGGCTGTGGTTGGGTTCTGGGGGTTTTCAGCTACAGGGTTCTGTTGGGGTGGGGAGGGCAGTTCAACCCGCCCCCCTCGAGTTGCCCTGGTGAAGACAGCCTGGCACGGGGTCAGGTGGTTCTATGGCGCTCTCCTCCCGGAGCTTTATTTCAAAGCTTCTTTCTATTTCCCTTCCTTCCTTCCTTCCTTCCTTCCTTCCTTCCTTCCTTCCTTCCTTCCCTCTCTTTCCCCTCTTTTTCTTTCTCTCTTTCTTTCCCCCCTCACCATTTCATCCTGTTTCATTTCATCTGCATGTTTGGGTCACTTCAAGGCATTCCCCCATTGGTCTGAGGATGCTTTTTCCTGGGAAGCCTGTCCCCACAAGCCTGTGAGGCTGGGACATTCCTGGACCAGGTGTGAAGTGGGGGGCGTTCTCAGCTCTCTCCCCACCTCTGCACACACACACACACACACACACACACACACACACACACACACACACACACAATGCGCCTAAGGTAGAACCTAGCCCAGGTCAGGAGGCACCCTCATAAGTCCCTTTCTCCCCTCTCTGTCCAGCCTGCACGACTCCCTGAACAGCCAGCGACAGAAGTACAACCGGCTGGTGAAGCAGTCGGACACAGAGAACCGGACGCTGACCTCGGACTACAAGCGGCTGGTGCTGCAGTTTAAGGAGCTGCAGAAAGCCCTGAGGTGTGGAGGGGGACCGAGCCCACTGGGGTGGGTGGGTGGGGAGAGCTGTAGGGTAGCACTAACAGAGGTAGCAGTTTTTTTCCCTTTTTGGGGTCACACCTGGTGATGCACAGAGGTTACTCCTGGCTCTGCACTCAGGAGTTACTCCTGGCGGTGCTCAGGGAACCATATGGGATGCTGGGACTTGAACCCGGGTCAGCCGCGTGCAAGGCAAATGCCCCCCCCCCCGCTGTGCTATCGCTCCAGCCCCAGAGGCAGCAGTTTGATGAGGTCTCATGATTCCCTGCTTTGCAGGGCAAGGAGTCCCTGGCACTGCCCTCCTGGTCCTTGGCACACAGTCTTGTGGGGATGGTGTCAACAGGGGACCAGACCCAGGGCTCTCCATGGCTCGGATGCTCTCTGGCCTGGGCGGGCCAGGGGGTACGTGGGGGTCCCCTCCAAACCTCTTCCCCACAGGCACTTTGCGTTCGTGGATGAGGACAACTTCCGGGAGATTTGGCTGATGAATGAGGAGGAGGCGAAGGGCCTGATCAGCAAAGCCTTTGACGTCGCCCGCATCATCCATACCCATCACCTGGGGCTCCCCTGGACCACCCCCGACTTCTGGTTTCTGAAGAACGTGGGGCCCATCTCCCGGCAGCCACAGAAGTCGGCCACGCAGATCCTGGAGGAGGTGCTGAGGCAAACAGGTGCCCCCCCCTGCAGACGGGCTCCCCACTCCCACCAGGCGCGCTCTCTGTGCGGGGGTCGGAGAGTCCCATGGGGTCACAGCTTTTAACGCGCGCTGACGTCTAGCTTTGCCTTTGGTGTTATGAACTGGTAGTTTGAGCTAGAAGCTTTTTTTGCCTTGTTTTGTAACTGTTCCTGGCGGTTCTTAGAGATTACTTCTGGCCCTGCACTCAGGGGATCATGCCTGGCGTTGCTCAGGGGTCCATGTGGGGTGACAGGGATCAACTCTGGGTCAGCTGCATGCAAGGCAAATGCCCAGCCCGCTGGACTATCTCTCCCACCACCGTGTTTATAGTTTTGATGTACAGTTACCACCTCACCACTGCCAATGTACCCCAATCCTGTACCACTGCCCTGTGCTACATCCCGTCCAGCTCATCATCCTCCTCTCACCCTCTCCTTCTGCCTTGCTTGGTACCCTCAGTTCTGTAGTGAGGACCAAGGATTTGTCTTCATTCGGGGCTGTCTATTCCCTTGTTTTGTTTCTCTGCACGCCACAGATGAGTGAGATCACCCAGTATTTGTCCTTCTGCCTCTGATTTATTTCACATAGCATGGTACCCTCCAGTTCCATCTAAGTCATAGTCACAGCAAATTGTGTGATTTTCATTTTTTTTCTATAGCTGTATAGTATTTCATTGCATATACGTACCACAATTTCTTTTTCCCTTCACTTGCCATTGGACATTTGGATTCTTTTTCATATGCTGGCTATTGTATGGCAAACAGTATGGAGATTTCTCAAAATAATAGAACATCCATAGAATCCAGCAATGTCATTTATTGGCCTCAGTCCTTTCCCCCAACACAAAAATGTTAGTTTTAAAAGATAAATGCAAACTATGTGGAGTGCAGCCCAGTTGGCTCTGAGTTCCTTCGAGTTTGGGACAAGGATAGATGGATTGGGTCTAGCATCTTTCAAAGAGGATCAGTGAATCCTTTAAAAAATTAATTTTTAGTTTTGGGGTCATGTTGTATGGTACTTGGGGGCTGTTTCTGGCTTTGTGCTCAGGGATCACTCCTGAAGGGGCTCCGGGGACCATGCAGTGCTGGGGATCAAGCCTCAGTAACTTTCCCTTACTGAGCTTCACAATGTCCCGTTGCTGAGACACTGGGGGTTCCTTCCTATTGGCCTGTTAACAGGCAATGAAATGACTGTTTCCCCAAGCCCCGAGGCTGGGAAAGAACCTGCTTTTTTCTGTCGCTCTGCAGAAGAGGAGGAGCAAGAAGGCTCCTCGGAAGGGGACAGCTACCTGGAGCTGCCGAAGCAAGTGTCCGCCAGGACCACCAAAAAGATACTGATGCTCCTGTGTGATGAGTCGGTGAGGCGCTGGGGTGACCCTGCCCTCCCCCCCAACAGGACAGGGTCTGAGCTGGCCCAGATGGCCAGGGTGTTCCTGGGGGAGGGGTGGGGGAAGGGCAGTGGCGCCAAACTCATTGGGGCAGAGGGAGGGACAGTCGGAGAGCCGGTGGGCCACCCTGACTGCCGTCTCCGGGCCCAGGCTTACCGGCTCTGCTGCCTCACCTGGGTTTGAGCCCAAAGTTCTAGGTGGGACCTCGGTGGCTGCCTTGGGCCCAATTAGCCAGAAAGCAGGTCTGAGGGGGTGTTTGGATCGCAGGGTGGCTTGGCCACCTGCTGTCCGCTGGGGACACTGGGGAGTGTTTTCCCAGCAGCACCTGCTGAGGGGGCAGCTGGCAGGGCTCCCCTCCACATGTAGTCTTGCGGCTGAGGCCCCTTCCTGGTGTGGGACGTGGTGACTCCCTCTCCCTGCCCCGTTCCCTCCTGCTTTGTGCTGTAAGTTTGGGGCAACACCGGTGGGCGGGAATCTGACAGGACCAGATGTGCACAATTGTGGGAGTCCCACTCAGATGTTTGCCCAGTGCCCAGTAGGTGAGGGGAGGAAGGTGACAGGAGCCCCAATGACATACATACACACACAGGGACCTGAGTCACACACACACACACACACAGAGGACTGAGTTACACACACACACACACACACACACACACAGGCCTGAGTGACACACACACACACATACACACGGGCGGGCCTCAGTGACATACGCACACAGAAGCCCCAAGTCACACAAACATAGACACACACACACACACATACATACACACAAGACTGAGTCACACACATACACACACAGGTCTGAGTCACAGACACACACAGAGGGTCTCAGTACCATACACACAGAAGCCTGAGTCTCACACACACACACACACACACACACACACACACACACACGGGGACCTGAGTCTGTCTGTCTGTCTCTCTCTCACACACACACACATACACACATACACAGGGGCCGAGTGACACACACACACACACACAGACATGCCACACACACACAGTAGCCTCAGTGACACACATACACAGGGGCTGAGTGACACACACACTCACTCGCACACTCGCACGCTGCCTTCCTCCTCCTCAGGGCTTCCTCATAGAGGCCAAGCTGCTGAGCCTCCTCCTCCCGCTGGAGCAGACCGAGTGCTACCTGCTGAGGCTGGACGCCATCTTCTCCGTGAGTCCCCAGGTTCAACAGGGTGTGCCCCCCACCCCGGCCGCCGTTGATGCTCCCCACAGGGACCACCATCCTCATCCCTGGGAGGAGAGGTGCACCTGGGGCCTCTGGCCTGCCCTTCCCGTGCCTCCTTCCCTGGCCCTGACCTGCCTCGCATGGGCCTGAGCTAGGGTGTTTGTGGAGCCTGTGTCGAGGCCCAACTCCCTGGTTTCTGTTGGGCCAGGTGTGCCTTTCTTAAATTTTTTTTATTTGCTTTTTTGGGTCACACTCAGCGATGCACAGGGGTTACTTCTGGCTCTGCACTCAGTAATTACCCCTGGCGGTGCTCAAGGGACCATATGGGATGCTGGGAATCGAACTCGGGTTGGCCGCGTGCAAGGCAAACACCCTACCCGCTGTGCTATTGCTCCAGTCCATAGGTGTGCCTTTCTTGGGATGTTCTCGGGGGTGGGGGGGCCTCCTACTGGCAGGGGAGGCCTCTTCACTCCCTGGGTGCTGGGGGGCTTCTCCCCTGGCTTGACCTATCCTTGCGTCTCTCAGGCCCTGGGCATCGAAAGTGAGGAGGACCTGTATAAACTGGTCAACTTCTTCATCAGATACAAGATCCATCATTCCATCAGCATCCAGGTAAGAGAAGGGGCTCTGGCACACAGGAGCAGAGAATATTCTGGAACCCCCGTGGGCGTTGTTGTCTCTGAGAAATGCTTCCTGAGAAGGCTCATGGTGGGTTGCAGGGCGGAGACAGTTAGGGATTCCTCATGCTGGCTGTAAAGGAAGAAGGGGTTTGGGAGAAGGGGGGGTGTCTGCAAATATTCTCACCTGTCACAATGTTCCGAGAAGGAGGCCCTGTTAGACCTAACTTGATGGGCTGATGTAATCGACTGTTTTTTTTTTTGGGGGGGGGGGCTACCGCCAGCAGTGCTCAGAGGCTACTCCTGGCTCAGTGCTTGGGGGTCGCTCCCAGTGATGCTCAGGAGATTATGCAGTACCAGGGCTCAGTCCTGCCCCTCCTGCATGCAGAGCCTGTGCTCAGGCCTGGTGTAGCCTCCCAGCCCAAAAAGGGACTCTTCAGAAGAAGTCAGAAATATACAGATTTACTTGGGGCTGGGGGCTGGAGCAATAGCACAGTGGGTAGGGTGTTTGCCTTGAACGCGGCCGACCCGGGTTCGATTCCTCCGTCCCTCTCGGAGAGCCCGGCAAGCTACGGAGAATCCCACCCTCACGGCAGAGCCTGGCAAGCTCCTCGTAGTGTATTCGATATACCAAAAACAGTAACAATAAGTCTCACAATGTAGACGTTACTGGTTCCCCCTCAATGAACAACGGGAGGACAGTGCTACAGTGCTATAAATAATTTATAATATTATATAATATATACATATGTTTATATGATATTTCGCTCCTCAGGATGCCTTCAAGGCGTTTTTCAGTGACTGATGCTTAGCTATGACGGCATTGTCCAGAATGGCCAAAGATGGGAACCCCACAAATCCTCTGTTGCTAAGGAGTCGAGTGAATAATGCTTGGACCCAGCATGCCTGAGACATGTCTCTGTGTGAGGAGATGGACAGGGTTTACTGGTGATGGAGCAAGATGCAAAATTTTGTGGAGTGGAGTGTCATTGTCACAAAAATGTGTGGGAAGAGAGTGGTGGGTTTTAGGGACAAAGTATTTCTTTATTCAGAGTGATAACCCGGCAGGTAGAGTTATCACTTACCTGAAGCTCACCTGGGTTTGTTTGATTCTCCCCTGAACACCACCAGATGTGGCCCCCAAAACCAAAAAAAATTTTTTCTAAATTATTTAACCAAAACCCCTCTATAAAAGTATTTTTTGGGGGGGTGGGGGTGGGGGGGTAGGGTTTGGACCTCATCAGGCAATGCTCAGGGCTTACTCCTGGCTCTGCTCAGGGATCACTCCTGGCAACGCTTGGGGAGGGGAGGAACCATATGGGGTACCAGAGGTTGAACCCAGGCTGGCTGCATGCAAGGCAAGCCTCCCTCCCTGCTGTACTGTCACTTGGTCCCTAAAACATGTTTTCATAAGAGGCATAAGAAACAACAGGGAACAGCAACCTGAGGGAAACAGGTTGTGTGAGAGGCAAGATGGAATAGGAAGAAGACCATTCTTCCTATTAAACAGTGAAACAGTTTCCGTTAAACAGTGAAAACTGAACTTAATGATGATCCAAAAGGATGTTTCTATCCTGTATGCTACATGTCCCTCAAGGAAAGGAACAGCGAGTTAAACAGGAGCCCAGATAGAGAAACAGATTCTTCTTTTGGTGTGGGAGAGGCTGAGGGCCACACCGCTTAGTGCTTAGAGATTACTCCTGGCTCTGCACTCAGTAATTACTTCGGGGGGGGGTGCTCAGGGACCATATGGGATGCCAGGGATCAAACCTGATCGGCCATATGAAAGCCAGGTGCCCTACTTACTGCATTCCTGACAGGGCTGGAGATCCAAGGGCTGGTGGCGTCCTTTCCAGTCTTACTGTGACTCCCGCCTGGGAGCAGAATCTTTTTTTTTTTTTTTTTTTTGCTTTTTTGGGTCACACTTGGCGATGCACAGGGGTTACTCCTGGCTCTGCACTCAGGAATTACACCTGGCAGTGCTCAGGGGACCATATGGGATGCTGGGAATCGAACCCGGGTCGGCCGCGTGCAAAACAAAAACCCTACTGGGTGTGCTACTGCTCCAACCAGCCCCCGTCCCTCCACACACACACCCACCCCAAGCAGAATCTTGACCTGCTCTGGTCCCCCGGCGCTCCTCCCACGCTCTTTCCCCACCACTTCCTTCCCGGCGCCCCACGTGCTTATCTTGCCTTGGTCCTGCCCTTTTCTGTGGGTTTGGACACTCGTGCTCCAGCCGCCACCGGGGTCACCCTCCTCCTCTCTGCAGCGCTCCTCCCAGGTCCTGTCCCTCAGTGAGGGCCGCCTCAGCGAGAGCCTGACGTCAGAGGAAGATCAGGAGGGGGAGCAGGAGCAGCGGAGCCTTGTGGGAGGAGGGGAGCCGCAGGAGGAGCACGAGGAGGAGAAGAAGGAGGAGCCCCCCAGCCCCACTTCTCCCTGGCTTATCCACCCCAACGATGTCCTCAAGATTCTGAGGGCCTTTGTGATGGGTATGAAGGAGCCCAGGTGGGTGCCATGCTGGAGGGGGGATGTGTGTGTGTGGGGGGGGGGGGTTGTGGAGTGGAGGAGGGGTTGCTCTGTGTAGACCCCCTGGCGGGTGCCCCTGCACTAAGAGCAACGGTGGGTGCAGGCTGAGGGTGCTCCATCCCCTGAGCTCCATGGGGTGGGTAGAGTGGGCAGAGGGCAGAGGGCGCGCCAGACAGTCCCAGCAGGCAGCAGTCATGGCCCTGGGTGCCATGGGTCAGCAGGATGGGCAGCGGGGCGTGGGGCCCTGCTGAGTGCCTCATCCTTTGCCGTACTCTGGACCGGGCTCAAGCCAAGAAAGGGTTTTGAGCAGAAGGGTGGGTGGGGCTGAGGGTGACACGTGTTTTTTCTTTTTTCTCTTTTTTTTTTTTGAGGGGGGCAGCGTCACACCTGTTGGTACTCATGGTTTACTCCTGGTTCCACGCTCAGGGATCACTCGTGGCGGACTCGGGGAACCATGTGGGCTGCCAGGGATCAAACCCGGGTGGGCCGCGTGCAAGGCAAACGCCCCTTCCCACTCTACCATCGCGCTGGCCCCCGCCCCAGATCTCTTCTTGGATCACAAAAACAATGGTTTGTTTGGGGGCCGTGCCCAGTGGTGCTCAGACGCCCTCCCCACTCAGTGCTCGGATACCCTCCCTGCTCAGTGCTCGGATGTCCTCCCCGCTCAATGCTCAGATGCCCTCCCCGCTCAGTACTTGGATGCCCTCCCCACTCAGTGCTCGGATGTCCTCCCCGCTCAGTGCTCGGATTTCCGGCCCGCTCAATGCTCAGATGCCCTCCCCGCTCAGTGCTCGGATGCCCTCCCCGCTCAGTGCTCGGATGTCCTCCCTGCTCAATGCTCAGATGCCCTCCCCGCTCAGTGCTCGGATGTCCTGCCCGCTCAATGCTCAGATGCCCTCCCCACTCAGTGCTCGGATGCCCTCCCCGCTCAGTGCTCGGATGTCCTGCCTGCTCAATGCTCAGATGCCCTCCCCGCTCAGTGCTCGGATGTCCTGCCCGCTCAATGCTCAGATGCCCTCCCCACTCAGTACTCGGATGCCCTCCCTGCTCAGTGCTCGGATGCCCTCCCCGCTCAGTGCTCAGACACCCCCCCTCAGTGCTCGGACGCCCTCCCCACTCAGTGCTCAGACGCCCATCCCGCCCTGCGCTCGGGGAACATGCGATGCCTGGGTTGAACCCGGCGTCCTCTGCAGGCCGCCTGCCTTGCTCCGGAAGAGTCCAGATGGCTTCAGGAGGGACAGTGAGGTCCAGGGGGAGCCTGAGGAGGGGGCTCTGGGGGCCCCCGGCTGAAGCTTTTCTAGAGCAGGGGGCATGCTGCGAGCTGTTGCGGGGCTGGGGAGAAACGGGCACAGGAAGTAAGACCAGAGAGGCCGGCTGAGGGGGCCTGGGGGCGCCCAGTGGTGAGGACCAATCGGGGACGGCCTGGGGGGAGCTGGGCGGTCCCGGGCATGGGCTGCAGGGACAGTGGCGTGGCCTCACCTGCAGGGACATACAGGCCCCAGTGAGGAAGTATGAACGTGACAGCACCAAGGACTCTGAGTACTGGAACGCCCTGGCCACTGTCATCCCGGACAGCACGCAGAGGCTCTGGGACGCCCTGTACATGGCCTTGGAGAAGTATCAGTGAGGATGCCCCCCCCCATGGGCATACTCGGGGCATCTGGGGCTGGTGAGGAGGTGGGGGGTGGGAGAGGACAGAGGTGGCACCCCTGACAGGTGTGTCCCCGCAGCCGCATCCTGACACAGCGGTTCCAACTGCTGCAGGAGAACCAGGGCATGGAGCTGCAGAACTCGGAGCTGCAGGCGCTGCTGCAGCATTATCTGAGCGCCAAGGTGGGCAGGGGCGCGGTGGGGGGGGTGTGCAGGGTGCTCGGGTGGGCAGGGGCATGGGAGGGGGGACAGCCTGGGCATCTGGGTCTTGTTAATGGGGGGAAAGCCCACGAGAGCCACCTGCCGGCCGCTCTTGAGAAAGGGTCTAAGCTGGGAGGCAGTGCCCACGGTGAGTCCCCACTTCCGGCCCAGGTGCCCGGCCTGTGGGTGTCGGGTTTGCTCTGCTCGGGGTCAGGGGAGCACCGCACAGGTCTGCTCCACGCCCTGCTGCAGGGCAGTGAGGGGAGGTGAAGGCAGCCGGTCCACACGGACAAGGCGTGTGGGAAGCCCGGGGGCCGGCTGAGAGGTCAGGGCTCAGATGGGGGAGCAGGGGGGAGCGGGTCCACAGGGCCTGTGCAGAGGGGACAGGGCGAGATTGGTGTCCCCCCCAGGCCCCCCTGCCGGAGGTTAGGGAGGAGCGAGGACTTTTCCACAGGAAGTCCAGGGCTTGTGGGTGGGGAGACACCAGCCCTGGTGGAGGGCTCGGACACAGCGGAGACCTCCCCCCTTTCTTTTCCAGATCAACTTTGAGCTGCAGGTTCCCCCGACTCAGGTGTTGGGAAACCCTCAACATAGCGCCGGGTAGGGGGTGGGGGGGCATGGGCGTGGGGGGCTGCTGGGCCGGGCGGCCCCTGGATTCTCCGAGCTGCCTCCTGTGCGGGTCGGGTGGGGTGGGGTGGGGTGGGGTTGTTCCTGTACCCGGGACCCAAATAAAACCGCCAGAGTCTCGTGGCTGAGTCTGTTCCCTGCACTGGGTCCCCGCGCCGGATTGTGGGGTGAGGACAAGCACAATCTAGAGGGTCTCCTCGTCTCTCTGGGGATGCTGCGGGGGGGGGGCGTGGGGGTGGGGTGGAGGCAAGCACAGGAGCGCTGTGGAGTCCAGACCCTCAGACTAGGGCTGAAAGCACCTTTTTTTTCTTGCTTTTTTGGGTCACACCCGGCGATGCACAGGGGTTGCTTCTGGCTCATGCACTCAGAAATTACTCCTGGCAGTGCTCGGGGGACCATATGGGATGCTGGGAATCGAACCTGGGTCGGCTGCGTGCAAGGCAAGCACCCTACCCGCTGTGCTATCGCTCCAGCCCCCGAAAGCACCTTTTTAATAGTGCCCCGAAATAAAGTGATTGCCCATGACTGCGCCCCGCCCTTCACCACCACCCCCCACACACCTCAGCGCCTTCAGCCTTCAGCTCCCCCAACCAGCTTCGAGACCCCAGTTGTGTTCAGTGTCCCAGAGCGCGTTCTGAAGGGACGGTCTGGGGGGCAGCCCCCACGTCCACTCTGCTGTGCCCCCAGCTCTGGTATGAGGCCCCCTGAAGGGGAAGAGGCGAGAGGGGGCCAGTAAGGGGTTCTCTGACCCAGAGCCACGCAGACCAGACCCGTTGCCGGCCAGTCTTCGCCTGCTTTTATTGAGAACAATCACACTCAGAGAAGGACAAGGAGAAACCCAGCCCGGGTCCTGGGGGGCGGCCGGGGGCGTGGCCAAGGCCTGGGCGTGGCCAGGACCGGGGCGTGGCCCGGGCTGGGGGCGTGTCCGGGGGCGTGGCCAGGCCCCTCTCAGGCCCCCAGCAGCTTCTTGACCATGTAGCCGGGGAGGCTGTACAGGAAGAGGCCCAGCATGAGCAGCGCCAGCAGCGCCAGCACCACCTTGATGATGAGCCACTTGTAGCGCGTGCAGATGAGATACTTGATGGACTTGAGCGGGTTCAGGAACCACACGAAGGCCGTGTCGGGCCGGCTGCGGAGGGCGGCGGGGTCAGGCCGGTCCCTGCTCGCGTCTGGCCCCCTGCCTGTTCTCTTAGTATTTGGGGCGGGGGTGGGGCGGCTACACCCTTTGTTGTAGGGGGCAGGCGGGGCCGGGCCGGCAGACTTGGGTGGTGTGGCCAGACCCTCTGCCCCCAGGCTCTTCCTGAAACCCCACGGGGCATTCTGGGAGCTGGGCAGCTCCGCGGATTCTGCTAGTGGGGGTGGCCAGAGGTGGGGGCCGCCCCTCTGTGGACACAGCCTGCCCCAGGCGTTCTGAGCATTTAGCCTTTAAGGGCAGCGCGGCCCAGCACCATCCAGGTCTTGCTCCCAGAATAGTGCTCCTCCACCTCGGCCTATTTTGGGTGCACCCCAGATACTGCGCCCCTCTTTCCCCCAACCCCCACCTGATCACGGACTTGAAAAAGTGTGGAGAGAGAAACTGGAGAATTGAGCAGGCCAGTCCTGGCCAACAGCACGGGACACAGGCCCATGGGGCTGCAGGGTGGTGGGAGCTGGGGCGGGACCCACTGAGGCAGGACCCACCCCAGCCTCTTCCCTTGGTCCATGCGAGTGGGGAGGGGTGAAGGGAGGTGGGAGGAGCTCCTGACCCTCCCTGCAGATAGGTTCCTAGTGGCCAGTGGCTCAGCCAAGGATGAGGGAGGGGAGGGAGGGAGGGAGGGAAGAAGGAAGGGAGGGAAAGGAGGGAAGGAAGGGAAGGGAAGGAAAGGAAGGAAGGAAGGAAGGAAGGAAGGAAGGAAGGAAGGTTGGTTTATTTCAGCACGCAGGACATGGAGAAGCTCTGGCTGGGAGTGAGGCCTGGCAGGGTCTGCACTGGACAAGCCACCAAGCCCTGGCCAAGACCTTCCTCTGTGCCAGCTTCCAGCTACCAGCGGAAGTGCTGGGCATCTGTGGGCTGGGAGCACTGGATTGGCAATTTGGAATAGGGAGGTCAGATCCCTGCTCCCCGCTAATTTTCTAGATGACCTGAAGCAAGTCACTTCATCTTGCCCAGGGTCACCCAGCAAATCAGGCCTAGTGTATAAAAAAAATGTATTGCAAGGGCCGGAGAGAGAATACAGTGGGTAGGGTGCTTGCCTTGCACATGGCGGACCCGGGGTTGATCCCCAGCACTCCATAGGGTGCCCCAAGCACTGCCAGGAGTGATCCCTGAGAGCAGAGCCAGGAGCAAGCCCTGAGTACTGCCGGGTGTGGCCCCCAAGAGCCAAAACAAAAGCGTAAAACAGTCATTTCCAGCTCTGGGCTACTACACTCTTCAGAAAGATGAACAGCAGCTGTCTGTGAATTCGGTGCATGTTGGTTGGTGTGTGCGCACGTGTGAATGCACACGTGTACGTCTGTGCGTGGATGAGCGTGCACATGCGTGTGACTGCGCCGCGTGCACACTCGTGTGGGCTCTGGGCTGTGTACACTTGCGTGTATGCGTGTGCACCCACCCGTGTGTGACCGCCTCTGTGTGTGGGTGGGCATGCATGTGCAATTGGAACGTGCTGGTGAGTCTCGCAGTGCTGCGGGCCCGAGAGGAGGAGGAGGAAGAGGAGGAGGCGGGGAGCCCCGGGGCCTGGAGCCGGGCTCAGGCGCCCAGGAGCTTCTTGGCCAGGTACCCGGGCACGGAGTAGAGGAACAGAGCGAGGAGCAGGAGCAGCAGCGCCAGCAGCAGGAGCCTGAGGAGCAGCCAGCGGTGGCTGTGCCACAGGAAGTAGCGGGCAGACTTGAGCGGGTTCAAGAACCAGATGAAGCTGGTGTCGGGCCGGCTGGCGCCACGGGAGCAGCAGAGGGAGCAGGCAGAGAGGACAGAGGGTGAGGGGTGGGGCCCAGGGACCCCCCGTGCTACGGCTGCAGGTGCTGCCTGGCACCCCGGCCAGGAAGGCAGAGCGCTCAGGGTGCCCCACATTCCCGGGAGGCCAGGCAGTGGGGAGGGGCCAGGGCAGGGAAACTGAGGCTCGGGAAGGGGCTGGCGGAGCGGGCACTCACTTGGGCTTCTCCAGCGGGTCGGGTTCATTGCGGGCCAGGCCCACCGGGTTCTTCTCGGCCTCCTCGGCTGTCAGGAGATGCAGCTCGGCCTCCACCTTGCCCTGCAGGGAACCAGGGCAGGAAGGGCCCAGCGCTCAGCTCTGCACTCTCTGGAGGGCGGGCATCTCCCCACCCGGCCCTGCCCTGCCCGCCCTCGGCCCCAAGCGTCTCGGCCCACCGTGAGCTCAAACTCATCGTTCTCGTTGCGGGCCAGGAGCGGCCACCAGCCCTTGACGCGCTTCTGCTTGAAGATGGACACGAGCGGCACGTCCAGCTCCCCCGTGGCCATCTCCATGCTGCACTGCTTGGCCGTCTTGGCGCCGCGTGGGAAGCGGTTCAGGTCCAGCTCGATGGCACCTGTGACAGCCCCTGGAGTCAGCCAGCTGTGCAGACGGCGGCGGCAGGGGTGGGGTGGGGTCCCTGCACACAGCCCCTCGTGGCGATCCCTCAGCTCCGGCCTCCCCCCTCCACGCGCACCCAGGAAGTCATCGGCCGAGAAGTGGTCGGCGTCCCAGATCTGCAGGGTGAGGCGTGCGGGGATCTTGTACTCCGTCTCGTCCCAGGAGAACATGGACTCCTTCTTGGAGATGACGATCTTCTCCTCGGCTGCCAGGTAGTCGAAGGGGAACAGGTAGCGCCAGTTGAAGTTGCCCTCGCCCGTGAGGGAGTGGTAGTGCACGTCGGTGTCCTGCTTGTCCTCCTGCTGGCCCTTCAGCCACCTGCGGGGACGGCTGCCTGCTCCAGTCTCGGTCACCCGGGGGATGGGACGCCTTCTCCCGCCTCCCTGGGAGGGACAGCCCCTCTACCTCAGCCCAGAGCCCTCTCACTCACCCCCGCACGAAAATGTCACTGGATTTCTCCCCTGTGAAAAAGTCGTCGTCCTCCAAAACCACCTCATCCGTGTTCCACACGATGACCCGCAGCTCGTACCTGAGCCAGAGATGGGCAGCTGTCAGGGGGTCGGGGTGGAGGGGGCAAGGGGCTGGAGAGGGCTGGGAGCAGGGCCCGGAGGAAGCTGACAGGGAGAAGGTGAGGGTCCCAGGGGAGAAAGGGAACCCAGCCGGGGGTGGGTGGGTCGGGGAAGTCTCTGGAAGCTAGTCTGGCCCCTGGATGGGCTGATTTGGGTGGGCAGGGTAGGGGGGCTGTTGGTGAGGTCCTGGGGCTGTCTCCAGTGGCCAGCTGAGTACGTGTGTGTTCAGAGCTGGCAGATGGGGGGCCTTTAACCCTTTAACTCGCAGCCCATGGTGGATGCCCCTGGCCTTGTCCTCAAAGAGGATTTCTCCCCTCTAAGTGCAAGGGCTGGAGCGATAGCACAGCGGTGGGGCTTTTGCCTTGCGCGCAGTCAGCCCGGCCGAGCCGGGTTCGATTCCTTTGCCTCTCTCGGAGAGCCATGCAAGCTACCAAGAGTACCTTGCCCGTATGGCAAAGCCTGGCAAGCTACCCGTGATGTATTCGATATACCAAAACCAGTAACAACAAGTCTCACAATGGAGACGTTACTGGGCTCGCTCGAGCAAATCGATGAACACCGGGAGGACAGTGACAAAGTGCTAGGTTCAACGACCTGAGGTGGTTGAGTTCAGCCACCAGGAGTGCAGCTGAGTGTGAGGGCAATCAACTGGCCTAACGCATTCCCAGCTGACACATGGCCTGGGGCGCCCCCTCGTGGAAGATCCTGGAACAGCAACCCGGCTGCTGACCCGGAGCTCTTTCAGGCAGAGCGGATGGCGTATGTTTGTGGGGTCCAGTGCAAAATGGAAATGCGGGGCTCCTGACTAACAAAACCATTAAGCCCTTCACCATGGTCAC